AAGGGGGAGAAGGGGGAGGAAGAGGAGGGGGAGGAGGAGGAAGAGGAGGTTCTTTTAATCTGATTTTAATTTCTGATTTGATTCTGATCTGGAAACCCGTAAGTTTCTCGAACAGAACAAAAACCAAAACGTTTTCTGAACGCCGGAGAGGTCCCAAGATGGCGGAGTGAGAGGTTTTGCATTTGCAGGCTCTCATGTTCAATTGGTGTTTAGCCAAGACTTTATCCAATTGCTGTGCTTTAGCCCCAGTTTATTACATCTTAGACTTGTTTATTCTTCTTTTGGTAACTTTTGAAACTATTTCAGCCTTTTTTTGGGTTATTTTGTCGTCTGGAGTTTATTTACGGAAACTAGCATGTCCGACCACGACTACAACCGGTCGGCTCTTCAAGAGGCCTGCGACGAGGATGTTATTGAGGAAATTGAGCTGGTCGGGGCTTCATCGGATCCTTCTGTTAAAGAACAGAAGGTGAATTGGGATCACACACCTCTTAAGAACAAAGGCAAGAAGAAACTGAAGCTTATGAATGTAAGGAGGACACAGCTAATGCTGTTCTTCGTGCGATAAGTGAACTCAACGCAAAGATAGACAACCAGACTGACATTTTGAAAAGCATTGAAAAACGCATTGAAGCCAATACTGTCGCCATTGAGGCGAACAAGAAAGTCATATCTGAGCTTGAAGCTACAGTTAACCTTCTCAAAAAAGAAAACTGAGGATCTCCTGTGAAGACCAGGCTCGTTACAAGAGGCGCTGGAACCTGAAGGTGACCGGCCTGCCCGAGAAAGACGAGGAGAACCTCCGGGAATCCATCATCGGGATCCTCACTCGGGTCATTCCTGTTTCCGTGGATCGGCTGCGGGATACTGTCGACACCGTTCACAGATTGGGGGGAAAAGCCGGTCCCGCTTCGGCCAACAACCGTCCCAGAGCTGTTATCATTCAGTTCGGGATGCGAACCATGCGGGATGAGGTCTGGAGGAAATCCAAAGATGCTAAAGTTTGTAAAGAAATGCAGATCAGCTTCAAGGAGGACTTTTCTAAGGAGGACAGGATCGCCCGGGCTAAACTGTGGCCCCTGGTTCAGGAAGCTAGGAGCAGGGGCAAACGCGCATACCTGAAGGAAGGCTTCGCCCTGATCGATAATCGAAGAGTGGATCCTGACTGATTCCACCGCCATGTTCCTTACGCCACTGGTATGGTGTGTTATGTTTGTATTTGTTTAAAGGGCTATTGCACTATTCCTTAGAGCTGTTATTGACTGTTATCTCATTCCTGCTCATCGTTCCTGGCAGTTTTTGGATAACTACTGTGTTTATTTCATGTTGTCCTTACTTTCACTTAATTCTAGGGGTTTAAAAAATATTGTTAAACGTAAGGCTACTTTTCTTTATTGCAAGGAGCAAAAGGCAAATTGTTTTTTTCTGCAGGAAACTCATTCCTCAAGTGAGGAGGCTGATTTCTGGAAACTTCAATGGGGTGATCAATTTTTTTTAGTCACGGTTCGTCACATTCAGCTGAGGTTATGATAATGTTTCATAGATTCCCTGGTTTGTTGTTGGATCATATCAGTGATACACATGGCCACTGGGTAAATGTAATAGTAGAGATTGGTGGAACCAAGATCATTTTGGATATAATAATAAAGTCATGAATAGTAATTTTTTTGCTGGCCTTGAAGAAATGATAAAATCTTGGAAAATAAAATATTCCACGGATCAAGTTATCTTAGGAGGAGATTTTAATATACCTCCTGATGGATCGATTGATCGTCTCCCCTCTCGGGGGCAGCACCACGTTTATAATGATATTTTTGTAAATTTGATCTCTAATACAAATTTGTTAGACTGGTGGAGAATTAGAAATCCTGATATCAGACAATACTCCTGGTTCAATCCTTCTGGAAATGGCCAATGCTCTAGGCTAGATTACTGGTTAATCCCACATAATTTAGTTCATAATATCTCAAGTTGTGAAATTTCAGCGGCTCCTTTAACAGATCATTGTTCTGTTACCTTGTTTCTCTTTCTGGATAAATCTAAGCCACCTTCAAACTTAACTTGGAAATTTAATAGTAATTTGCTGAGTAATAGAATTTTCTGTTCTGAAGTCCTGAACCTCATTAAGGATATTTCAAGTTTGGATCTGTCTCCCTTAAATAAGTGGGAGTGGCTTAAATTTCAGATTAGAACAACTGCAATAAAGATTGGAAAACTAGTTTCAAAGCAGAGGAGACAAGAGCAATCCCAACTTATTAGCAATATTAATTCTCTATGTTCAAAGTCAGTTTTTTAAATCAGCTTGAAGTTTTCAAAACTCAACTAGATGATGTTTTTCTGGATAAAGCTCGGGGGCCTTTCGTTCGCTCAGGGCTCGATGGATTGAGGAAGGCGAAAAAAACTCTTCATATTTCTTTGGTCTTGAGAAACAAAGACAGTCCAAAAGAAAAGATTCAGAAACTAATTATTAATGGGAATGTCACTGAAGACCTGGATTTAATAAACACGGCAATTAGAAATTTTTATAGCGACCTTTATTGTTCTAAATATTCGGAATCCAATTGCCAATCTTTTTTTGATGAAATTCAGGAATCTATTGAAGAAATTAATCTCGATTTTAAAAGCCTTATGGATGATGACTTGAGAATTGAAGAACTAGACACAGCAATTCAACAAATGGCAAAAGGTAAATCTCCTGGCCTGGACGGGTTAACCACTGAATTTTATATTTTCTTTTGGAAAGATTTAGGAAAACTATTATTTGAGGCCCTGCTGGAATGCATTTCAAACAATAGTCTCTCCCACCATGAAACGAGGTTTGATTACTCTGATCCCCAAAGCCAACAAAGATCCTTTATCACTGGACAACTGGAGACCTATCACTCTGTTATGAACAGATTACAAACTTCTAGCTCTTATTTATGCAAATCGCTTAAATAGTGGTTTGGATTCGATTATTAATCAGCGTTTTTAATCAGCGTTTTTAAAGGGGAGGAATATCCATCATCATATGAGACTCATTCTTGATATGATTGATTATCGTAGTTTTATTGATAATGATAGTTTTATTTTATTCCTGGATTTTTTAAAGGCTTTTGACTCACTGGATCACTGCTTTATAATAAAAACCTTAAAATACTTTGGTTTTGGGGAAAAGTTTTGCAATATAATCAGATTATTTTATAGTAGCTCAGTTTCTCTGGGAACAAGTTTAACCCCCAGCTTCCCTATGTCGCGAGGAATCAGGCCCAATTTCACCTAAATTATTTATATCAACAACTCAAATGCTTACTTTAATAATTCAGAAAAATTTGAATTTGCATGGTATAAACATTTTTGATAAGGAATTCAAGAATAGTCAATTTGCTGATGATACAACCATTTTTTTAAAAGATAAGACTATGGTTGACATTGCGTTGAAATCTATTTAATGTTTTCAGAAGCGTCTGGTTTGTCTCTCAATATTAATAAATGTGAACTTCTGCCGATCCATTCTAGCTCTGATACGTCAGTTGCTTCCATTACTGTTAAGTCCAAAGTAAAGTATCTGGGAATACTGATTTCTAATAATGCTACCAGAAGAGAGGAGGCAAACATTGAAAGATGCTTGGATGGCATGAAGAGATCCTTGAGCCGCTGGTTAACTAGAGATCTGACTATTTTTGGACAAACTCTTTTATCCAAAGCAGAGGGAGTATCCAAATTAATTTCTCCTTGTCATTCGGCCTTTATCTCCAACAAAAACATTAGAAAAGCTAATTCGATAATCTTTCAATTTATCTGGAGAAATAAAACTCATTATTTACGACGTTCTCATCTTATTAAAGATTATGATAAAGGAGGAATTAGAGCTTTAGATTTTGAGGCTCTGATTGGTTCCTTTAGAATAAATTGGCTAAAGACCTATTTGTCTCATTCCAACTCCATGTGGTTTCATATCCCCAAATCAATATTTAAAAAATTAGGTGGTTTAGATTTTGAATTAACCAAGATTCCCATTTCATTGTCTAACTTTCATAAACAAGTTTTACACTTTTGGAAAATGATATTTACTCACAATTTTACCCCACATGGATCCCTAGAGTGGAATAACAGATCAATATTACTGAATAGAAAATCTATTTTTAAAACTGACTGGTATGAGAAAGGTATTCTATTTGTAACTGACTTGATGGATAGTAATGGTGTTTTGTTAAATCATAGAGATTTTACCCACAAATTTAATCTGAACTGTTCTTATAATGAATATGTAAAAGTATGCAGAGATATTCCTGTAGCTCTGCTCCATCTCATCCAAAACACCTTGAGATTTTCAAGTGTTGCTTCATCTTTACCTGAATTGAAGATTGGAGAATATATAGAATATATGTTAAAAACTGGTTATGTCTCAAACTTGAAGACATCCCTGAGATAAATATCACCCATGTTTTGTATTATGTTGATGACCTTGATGATCAAATATCTGATATGGTGAATATTGTTTTCTTGCTTGTTAAATATCATATACATTGCTGTAAATGGAGAGGTTCTACTCCTTGTTTTGATTTTTTTATTAATCAGTTTAAGCTGTTTTATGCTTCCCTGAAACTTTTGAAAACTAGTTATGCAAAAAAAGTCACTGACAGTATCTCTACTTATCTTTTGTTTTGAATCTTGCTCGGTTTTTTAGTCATTTGCCTTACAGTTTGTTGTTTTTTCTGTCTGTATTTTCAGCCCCTTGTTTCTTATTTACCTATGTTGCAATGTTCTTTGTACCTCAACGAGTCTTTGTATACTGTTCGCATAATAATAATAAAAAAATTTTAAAAAAGTTTTTCTGGACGCCATCTTGCAGCCCGTTGCAGGGAGAGGATCCCACCAGCAGGTGGCACAATTGCTCCATTTCAGCCATTTTAGCCAGATGTGTTGAACAGGTGAAGGACCGAACCCTAACAGAGCCGGAATACGGCAACACGCACAGAACAAAAAGGTGAAAGAACCAGTCCAATCACAAAAACAGGGACAGTTTGTTTCCTTTATTAAGAACAGTCCAACAGAAAAATATTTAGATTTATTCGATTAATTTACTTCATATAGGACCAGAGAAAAGCTGATTTTGAGTATTTTTATCAAGACACAAACACGAAAACTCCCTCATTTAATAATAGATCACAGTAAAGGTTTAAAAACAAAAACAATTCCAGCAAAACAAACAAAATCAGAAACTAAAAACGTCATCACTTACATCATGTAAAATTTGTGCAAAACATTTCAGAAGCAAAACCTTTAAACGTTTTTCTGACTGAATCCTGCTGAGTTTGGAGCCAAGAAGCAGAAAATAGCATTTAAATTGAACTTTATTGCACTTTATTATCATGCAAACGGTAAAGATTTAATAAAATCACATTTTTCTGTCTTTAATTTTAATCTCAGTTCTGATGATGAGTTTCTTGTTTTTAAATATATTTAAAACTTTATTATGAATACTTTCATCACTATGGTGAAGGTTACCATAAACTTTTCAAATAAAAAAAATATTTTAATGAATTATTTAAAATCAAATTGGGGTTTTAAAGGTTTGATGAAAAGTTTGGATTCATTTTATTTTATGAAAATCGAAATAAGTCCCGTACATTTTAAACACATTATTTGTGATTTTATAACGTTAATGACTCCCAACGTAAAGAATTTTCCATAAATAAAGGATTGCTTCTGTTGACAGCAGTTTTGTTGGTCAGGACAGGAGCAGAGCGAGGCTGAGCGTGGAGACGCCCAGCAGCGACACGGACAGCGGGCGAGCGGCGGCGCCCTGGAAGCTGATGAATCCGGGCTGCTCGCCGCTCACCTGGCTGTTGATCCAGGTCTGGTAGTTGGAAATTCGGGCATAAACTCCCGGAAAGCCGGGCTGGGCGCAGCTGAACCCGAAGCTCACCACACCGGCCTGGACCCACACCGTCCCGTTTTTGGTGACTAGAGGTCCGCCGGAGTCTCCCTGCGTCACAGGATCGGCGTCAGGTCAGAAAGCTTGCCGCGTGACCTTTAACCCCTTAGAGCAGGGGTGTCAAACTCCAGTCCTCGAGGGCAACCGTCCTGCAGTTTTTAGATGTACCTCAGGTACAAAATGCTGGAATGAAATGGCTTAATGACCTCCTCCTGCTTCTCCAGAGCCTTAATGACCTAATTATTGTATTCAGGTGCAGCAGAGGCTCATCTAAAGGTCGCAAGACGCCGGCCCTGCAGGACTGGATGTTGACACCCTGCCTTAGAGGGAGGAACATGTGACTCACCTGGCAGGAGTCCTTCCCTCCGTTGGTCAGACCAGCACACAGCATGTTGTTTGTTAAGCTGCTGTAGGAGGCGCTGCACTTGCTGTTGGACACAATGGGAACGTCCACTTCCTGCAGCGTCTGAGAAACGCCTGTAGGGGGAGACAACGGACCAATCAATGATAACATTTTTACTGATTCTATCAGTAAATCCCTAACTGAGCAGGAATTTCTGACTGCTATCCGAGGAAACATTGCAGAACAGCCTGAGGCACAGACAGGCCGCCTGGAAACACCTGCACAGGTAAACAAGATCCCACCTGAGATGTGACGCTAAAGCGGAACAGAAAATGGGTTTTCCACTCTACTGTGAAAAAGTTCTAGAGTTTCAGTGGCCACCGAAACAGGCACTTCCTGTTTCGGTGGCCATAACGGGCCACTTCCTGTTTTGGTGGCCCTAACTTCCTGTTTGTGTTCTTTCAGTTCGTGACTTTCAGCTGTTATACATTTTCAGTTTTTGCTTTAGATTTTTTAAAGAGGAAAAGCTGTTGCTGACAGAAGTAACTGATGTGGGAGACGTCTGACCCGACGTCTGACAGGTCACCCTGACCTCTGACCTTGTGCAGGTGAATTTAAATGCTGCACTTTTTGTCTCCACCGGCTCCTGACCCGGTTAGCCATTCGTTGTTTCTCTGCTCAGATCTTAATGCCCTAAAGCGGGGCATCACTTCTCTCACAGTGAGGTCAAAGTTCAGCAGAGGCCTGCTGATGACCATCTGACCCAGGTGTGTTGAACCAGGGAGAGAGCTGAACCGTGCAGGACCCCTAGAGGGCGCCACCGCTCCAAAGCCCTGCTGTTCCTACACATCATCGTCGCCTTCAGCGAAGCGACAGGAAGTGAACCTTACTGCCGCCTTCTTTGAGGGTCCCCCAGCCGGTGACCCAGCAGTCCAGTCCGGACGGGAAGACGCTGCCGTCGGCGGCCAGGCAGATGGGCCGGACGTAGTCGGTAAAGTTGACGGCGGAGGACAGCTGCACCAGAGCCACGTCATTGTCGTTGGTGTTTGTGTTGTAGTCAGGATGGACGATGATCCGCGCCGCGTTGCGGGACACCAGGTTAGCGGAGGACACCAGACTGAGAAGGCCGAGGGAAACGGTCACGCCCGACGTGCTGGTGCTGAAAGAAACAGGTGACACTTTGTTTATGGGCGAACTCCGAACCCAATATTTCCTCCAAGAACTTCTTATTTATGACTTAAATATCAAAAACGTTCCCAACAAGAAAGCTAGTTCTGGATTCGGAGGCTGCTGCTCGACGACCTCTGAGTCTAAAGGCCGCCTGGTTCTTTGTCTGTAAATCTGTGTTTATTTATGTCCAACAGTTTTCAGTAAAAAAAAAAACAAAAAAACTTTGTTCACTTTCTGTTCAGCGGCTGTGCCAGGCAAGTCCACCTCGCTGCAGCTAACAGGAAGGGCGACGGACCGCTGTCAGTCTCAGACCTTAAAATGAGACCATTGCACTCCGGAAGTGAAGGGGGCGCTATTTCTTATATTATCCATGGTCTCCCGTTTTTATTTTTATTTGAAATCTGTGATATATTTTCACCTTTAGGAAGGATTTTCACTCTCAGCTTGTATTTGAACTTCCTGTCTTATATTTACTTAATAGTAAAACATAAATACTTTTTGCTATTGTGATTTAGTAATGTAATTATATTAATTGTGTTACCTCCCCACGCCACTAGAGGCAGTATCAGGCCCAAAAAGATGCAACTAAGGAGCAGCTTTAGAAGAACACAGGAAGCTACAGAATCTGTTAAAACTGTGAGCTGCACTGAAGTAAATAAAAGAGAGAAGATCAAATACAAGCAGAAAGAGAAAATCCTTCCTGAAGGTGAAAATACATCACAGATTTAAAAAATAAAAATAAAAACAGGAAGATAATATTGGAAATAGCGCCCCCTTCACTTCCGGAGTGCCACTGTCCCTTTTCCATATAAGGTCCGAGACTGACAGCGATCCGTCGCCCTTCCTGTTAGCTGCAGCTAACAGGAATATTTATTTATAAATATTTATAAATAAATAAATATTTTATTTCTTTATTTTTTTCATTACCATCATGTACAACAAACATGGTCTCGGCATGAGATGTACAAAAACCTGAACAACTTGAAGAAGCCGATCCAGGCTGCTTCCATATCCACCGAGAACAAAAGAAACAAAGAATAAAAGGAAACAAACAAACAAACAGGCCATCAGGATTTCCATCAGTTTCAAATTATTTATCATATTATTCAGTTCTGCATCTTGTTGTTTGTCATGAGTTTTAGAGATGAGAAGAGGGTTCCTTGTGAAAAGTGGGGAAAGATGTTTTTTTTAAAAACATTTGTGAATGAAAAACTTGCCAGGATAATTATTAGCCTTTCAATTTTTTTCTTTTCTGAATCCCAATGATAATGTCTTCCTTAGAAAATTCAGATAAGTTTGGAATTTTAGGAATCATAACAGAAAACTTTACACACATTGATAGAAAAGATCAGTGTTGTATAAAGTCCTGAAATCTCAGAGTCCAGTAAAAGTACAGGAACTTCTCCAAAATATGACTTTGGTAAAAGTAAAGTCACTGATTGAAATGTTACTTGAGTTAAAGTCTTAAAGTATCTAAAACGTCTTGTACTTAAGTCTGGAAATTACTGTAACAATGGATGAACTCAAGTAATGTAATGAAAAGTAAAAAGTAAAACAAGGCAAATGCAGTTTGAATGACATTTTTTATATTTTGGTAAACTTGTTAAATACACTTAAAATACACAACCAAGTGCAGGCAAAATGAAACCTGCTAATAGATAAACCTGCAGCATCATTAGTTAAGAACATTAGGTGCTTTACCTACAAGGTTAACTTAACCTGCTTTAGATTAACTTAACCTGCTTTAAGTTAACTTAACCTCCTTTAGATTAACTTAACCTGCTTTAGATTAACTTAACCTGCTTTAAGTTAACTTAACCTGCTTTAGATTAACTTAACCTGCTTTAAGTTAACTTAACCTCCTTTAGATTAACTTAACCTGCTTTAGATTAACTTAACCTGCTTTAAGTTAACTTAACCTGCTTTAGATTAACTTAACCTGCTTTAAGTTAACTTAACCTGCTTTAAGTTAACTTAACCTGCTTTAGATTAACTTATCCTGCTTTAAGTTAACTTAACCTGCTTTAGATTAACTTAACCTGCTTTAAGTTAACTTAACCCGCTTTAGATTAACTTAACCTGCTTTAAGTTAACTTAACCTGCTTTAGATTAACTTAACCTGCTTTAAGTTAACTTAACCTGCTTTACAACTGAACCAGCTTCTTAGTATACCCTCCAGGACAGAAAATACAAAGTTTCTATAAGCCTCAAGTTTTCCCTTTCAGTAAGGTCAGTGCTGAAAATGAGAAAAATAAATAGTCAGTACAGAAAATGTGGCCAACATGAAGAGAAAAAGCCGTTAGGATTCCTCTACTTCACACACTATAGGTGCAACAACTGGTCATTATGCAAAAGAAAAAGAATTGGGAGGGAAATGCAGCTTATTGGCATCTGAAGAGGGAGAGCTTTTAGTTAACTTGGTGTTTAATGGGAGAAGCAAAACTTTTGCATCCTATTGGTGGAGATGAACAATCCCAGGCTAACAGGCTTTGTTGCAGTTGATCAGTAGGTTGATCAAAACATTTGCGTTTCTCCCGTTTTTTTGTAACCAGTAACTAAACCACACATTGAAAATGTATCGGAGTAAAAGTATGAAATTAAGTTCGGAAATGTAGTGAAGTAAAAGTGAAAGTTATCAAACATTTTCATACTCGAGGAAAGTATGAAGTACTCCAAAATATACTTAAGTAAAGTAGTGAAGTATTCTTACTTTGTAGTAACGAAGTAAAAATACTTTGCTGGAAATGATCAATGTGTGCTGAACAGGAAGTGATGTCACATGAACAGAACTCACCTGGAAAAGCAGTGCGCAGCAGAAAGAACCCACTGGCTGTTGATGAGGGACCCTCCACACAAGCCCTCCTGGATGAGCAGCCGGGCCTGCCACGGCCACGCCCCGGCCGCCGCCGCCTGGCCGCCCACGATCCGCCCGCCGCTCTTCGTGTTGAGCGGCGCGGTGCCGCAAACTGCAGAGACATGTTGGAGCCATCAGGCCTCTGGAAACGCCCAGCATCACCAACTGAGTAGTTAGCAGAAGCTGATGCTAAAGAAGCAGCTAATCAGCCAAAGGGTCATTTCACTGCCAAGGTCAAGGTCAAATTGAAGGGCTTGACCTCCAAGAAGTGATTGTTTGAGTTTTACTAACTCAGATGAGAAACTGTTTTCTCTGGAACAAACCGGCTAGTTAACTGGGTTAGTTAAACTTAATATTTAGCTTGATATCTGAACATTTAGTTTGAAGCTAAACATTTTTGCTATTAATATTTAGTTGTAAGCTCAAACCAGATAGCCAAATGTAGCTAACTAATTTTACATTTATATCTAAATAAATATTTAGTTTAAAACTGACATTTATAAATGAATAAATAACAGTTGAAACTCCATTATGTTTTATTTTTAAAGATACATAACAGATCATTGCTGTGGGTTTGTCAAAGTTAGCAGCGTAGCGTTAGCAGCGTGTCATCAGCCGCCCTCATTTGTTCAAGATGATTTTTCTATTTGTTGGATTTTTGCTCAAAATGAGGAGAGGAAGCTGAACTTCAAAATAAGAGCATTGATATAAATATCTACCTGAGAAATTCTTCACAGTCGTTAAGCAAAACTTCACATGTTGATCTTTACTCAGCCGAAGGTTTACAAAGCACCAAGGAAATGAGCGTTTTAGAAGTTTTCTGGACATTTTTTATGAAAATGTCAAAGTTAGCAAAAATGCTGACATGGTAAGCTGAGAATTTAAGCTGCAATTATTAGCAGCAGCAGTAGCAGTGGTGTCTCCATACCTAGAATAATAAATAAAATGTCAGTAACTGATTTTAAACCGGAGATCCACAGTTCACAGCTGCTGAACTAATGATCCACAGAAAAACCTCTGCAGCTCATCCTCCTCATCTTCCTCAACCTCATCATCTTCCTCATCTTCCTCATCCTCTTCAAACTCCATCCTCCTAATCTTCCTCATCTTCCTCACCCCTCATCTTCCTCATCCTCTTCAACCTCCTCATCCTCCTAATCTTCCTCACCCCTCATCTTCTCATCCTCCTCAACCTCCTCATCTTCCTCAACCTCCTCATCCTCCTCATCTTCCTCATCCCCTCAACTTCCTCATCTTCCTCAACCTCCTCATCCACCTAATCTTCCTCATCCTCATCATCTTCCTCAACCTCATCATCTCAACCTCATCTTCCTCAACCTCCTCATCTTCCTCATCATCTTCCTCAACCTCATCATCTTCCTCAACCTCATCATCTTCCTCATCCTCATCATCTTCCTCAACCTCCTCATCTTCCTCAACCTCCTCCTCCTCCTAATCTTCCTCATCCTCTTCCACCTCCTCATCTTCCTTAACCTCATCATCTTCCTCAACCTCCTCATCTTCCTCAACCTCCTCATCTTCCTCAACCTCCTCATCCTCCTAATCTTCCTCATCCTCCTCATCTTCCTCATCCTCTTCCACCTCCTCATCTTCCTTAACCCATCATCTTCCTCAACCTCATCATATTCCTGATCCTCCTAATCTTCCTCAACCTCCTCATCCTCCTAATCTACCTCATCCTCCTCACCTTCCTCATCCTCTTCCACCTCCTCATCTTCCTTAACCTCATCATCCTCCTAAACCTCCTCATCTTCCTCACCCTCATCATCTTCCTCAACCTCACCATCTTCCTCAACCTCATCATATTCCTGATCCTCCTAATCTTCCTCAACCTCCTCATTCCTCACCCCCTCATCTTCCTCATCCTCTTCAACCTCCTCATCCTCCTAATCTTCCTCATCTTCCTTACCCCCTCATCTTCCTCAACCTCCTCATCCACCTAATCTTCCTCATCCTCATCATCTTCCTCAACCTCATCATCCTCATCTTCCTCATCCCCTCAACTTCCTCATCTTCCTCAACCTCCTCATCCACCTAATCTTCCTCATCCTCTTCTCAACCTCATCTTCCTCAACCTCCTCATCCTCCTAATCTACCTCATCCTCCTCACCTTCCTCATCCTCTTCCACTCCTCATTTCCTTAACTCATCATCCTCCTAAACCTCTCATCTTCCTCACCCTCATCATCTTCCTCAACCTCACCATCTTCCTCAACCTCATCATATTCCTGATCCTCCTAATCTTCCTCAACCTCCTCATCTTCCTCACCCCATCATCTTCCTCATCCTCTTCAACCTCCTCATCCTCCTAATCTTCCTCATCTTCCTTACCCCCTCATCTTCCTCATCCTCTTCAACCTCCTCATCCTCCTAATCTTCCTCACCCCCTCATCTTCCTCAACCTCATCATCTTCTCATCCTCCTCATCTTCCTCATCCCCTCAACTTCCTCATCTTCCTCACCTCCTCATCCACCTAATCTTCCTCATCCTCATCATCTTCCTCAACCTCATCTTCCTCAACCTCCTCATCCTCCTAATCTACCTCATCCTCCTCACCTTCCTCATCCTCTTCCACCTCCTCATCTTCCTTAACCTCATCATCCTCCTAAACCTCCTCATCTTCCTCACCCTCATCATCTTCCTCAACCTCACCATCTTCCTCAACCTCATCATATTCCTGATCCTCCTAATCTTCCTCAACCTCCTCATCTTCCTCAACCTCTTCATCCTCCTAATCTTCCTCATCTTCCTCACCCCCTCATCTTCCTCATCCTCTTCCACCTCCTCATCTTCCTCAACCTCATCATCTTCCTCAACCTCCTAATCTTCCTCACCCCCTCATCTTCCTCAATCTCTTACACCTCCTCATCTTCCTTAACCTCATCATCTTCCTCATCCTCCTCATCTTCCTCACCCCCTCAACTTCCTCATCTTCCTCAACCTCCTCATCCACCTAATCTTCCTCATCCTCATCATCTTCCTAAACCTCCTCATCTTCCTCAACCTCATCATCTTCCTCAACCTCCTCATCTTCCTCAACCTCCTCATCCTCCTAATCTTCCTCACCCCCTCATCTTCCTCATCCTCTTCCACCTCCTCATCTTCCTTAACCTCCTCATCTTCCTCAACCTCATCATCTTCCTCATCCTTCTCATCTTCCTCAACCTCCTCATCCTCATAATCTTCCTCATCTTCCTACTCCTCTTCAACCTCCTCATCTTCCTCAACCTCCCAATCTTCCTCACCCCCCTCATCTTCCTCAACCTCCTCATCTTCCTCAACCTCCTCATCTTCCTCCTCCTCCTCCTCTTCCTCATCCTCCTCATCTTCCTCATCCCCTCAACTTCCTCATCTTCCTCAACCTCCTCATCCACCTAATCTTCCTCATCCTCATCATCTTCCTAAACCTCCTCATCTTCCTCAACCTCATCATCCTCCTAAACCTCCTCATCTTCCTCACCTCATCATCTTCCTCAACCTCACCATCTTCCTCAACCTCATCATATTCCTGATCCTCCTAATCTTCCTCAACCTCCTCATCTTCCTCAACCTCATCATCCTCCTAATCTTCCTCATCTTCCTCACCTCCTCATCTTCCTCATCCTCTTCCACATCCTCATCTTCCTTAACCTCATCATCTTCCTCAACCGCATCATCTTCCTCAACCTCCTAATCTTCCTCACCCCCTCATCTTCCTCAATCTCTTACACCTCCTCATCTTCCTTAACCTCATCATCTTCCTCATCCTCCTCATCTTCCTCACCCCCTCAACTTCCTCATCTTCCTCAACCTCCTCATCCACCTAATCTTCCTCATCCTCATCATCTTCCTAAACCTCCTCATCTTCCTCAACCTCCTCATCTTCCTCATCATCTTCCTCAACCTCATCATCTTCCTCAACCTCATCATCTTCCTAATCCTCATCATCTTCCTCAACCTCCTCATCTTCCTCAACCTCCTCCTCCTCATCTTCCTCATCCTCTTCCACCTCCTCATCTTCCTTAACCTCATCATCTTCCAAAACCTCCTCATCTTCCTCAACCTCCTCATCCTCCTAATCTTCCTCATCCTCTTCCACCTCCTCATCTTCCTTAACCCCATCATCTTCCTCAACCTCATCATATTCCTGATCCTCCTAATCTTCCTCAACCTCCTCATCCTCCTAATCTTCCTCACCCCCTCATCTTCCTCATCCTCTTCCTCCTCCTCATCTTCCTTAACCCCATCATCTTCCTCAACCTCATCATATTCCTGATCCTCCTAATCTTCCTCAACCTCCTCATCCTCCTAATCTTCCTCACCCCCTCATCTTCCTCATCCTCTTCCACCTCCTCATCTTCCTTAACCTCCTCATCTTCCTCAACCTCATCATCTTCCTCATCCTTCTCATCTTCCTCAACCTCCTCATCCTCATAATCTTCCTCATCTTCCTACTCCTCTTCAACCTCCTCATCTTCCTCAACCTCCCAATCTTCCTCACCCCCTCATCTTCCTCAAGCTCCTCATCTTCCTCCTCATCCTCCTCATCTTCCTCATCCCCTCAACTTCCTCATCTTCCTCAACCTCCTCCTCCTCATCTTCCTCATCCTCTTCCACCTCCTCATCTTCCTTAACCTCATCATCTTCCAAAACCTCCTCATCTTCCTCAACCTCCTCATCTTCCTCATCCTCTTCCACCTCCTCATCTTCCTTAACCCCATCATCTTCCTCAACCTCATCATATTCCTGATCCTCCTAATCTTCCTCAACCTCCTCATCCTCCTAATCTTCCTCACCCCCTCATCTTCCTCATCCTCTTCCTCCTCCTCATCTTCCTTAACCCCATCATCTTCCTCAACCTCATCATATTCCTGATCCTCCTAATCTTCCTCAACCTCCTCATCCTCCTAATCTTCCTCACCCCCTCATCTTCCTCATCCTCTTCCACCTCCTCATCTTCCTTAACCTCCTCATCTTCCTCAACCTCATCATCTTCCTCATCCTTCTCATCTTCCTCAACCTCCTCATCCTCATAATCTTCCTCATCTTCCTACTCCTCTTCAACCTCCTCATCTTCCTCAACCTCCCAATCTTCCTCACCCCCTCATCTTCCTCAACCTCCTCATCTTCCTCATCTTCCTCAAGCTCCTCATCTTCCTCCTCATCCTCCTCATCTTCCTCATCCCCTCAACTTCCTCATCTTCCTCAACCTCCTCATCCACCTAATCTTCCTCATCCTCATCTTCCTAAACCTCCTCATCTTCCTCAACCTCATCTTCCTCAACCTCCTCATCTTCCTCAACCTCCTCATCTTCCTCCTCAACCTCCTCATCTTCCTCAACCTCCTCATCCTCCTAAACCTCCTCATCTTCCTCACCCTAATCATCTTCCTCAACCTCATCATATTCCTAATCCTCATCATCTTCCTCAACCTCATCACCTTCCTCATCCTCATCATCTTCCTCAACCTCCTCCTCCTCCTAATCTTCCTCATCCTCTTCCACCTCCTCATCTTCCTTAACCTCATCATCTTCCAAAACCTCCTCATCTTCCTCAACCTCCTCATCCTCCTAATCTTCCTCATCCTCTTCCACCTCCTCATCTTCCTTAACCCCATCATCTTCCTCAACCTCATCATATTCCTGATCCTCCTAATCTTCCTCAACCTCCTCATCCTCCTAATCTTCCTCACCCCCTCATCTTCCTCATCCTCTTCCACCTCATCTTCCTTAACCCCATCATCTTCCTCAACCTCATCATATTCCTGATCCTCCTAATCTTCCTCAACCTCCTCATCCTCCTAATCTTCCTCATCTTCCTAATCCTCTTCAACCTCCTCATCTTCCTCAACCTCCTCATCTTCCTCATCCTCTTCTTCCTCATCCTCTTCAACCTCATCATATCCATCAACCTCATAATCTTCCTCAACCTCATCATCTCCCTCAACTTCCTCATCTTCCTCATCTCCCTCAACCTCATCATATCCCTCATCTTCCTCAACCTCCTCATCCTCCTAATCTTCCTCATCCTCCTCATCTCCCTCAACCTCCTCATCTCCCTCAACTTCCTCATCCTCCTCAAACTCCTCATCCTCTCCTGTCCTCACATTTTCAGCCATTCCTCCAGTCCTCGTTAAAGTTTTTATCTCGTTAATCTGCTTCATTCCTCTTTCTCGCCTCTTTTCTGATTTATTTCTGCATCCAGTCTCTGTTGCAGCTGATCTCGTGCCACTCATCGGCCTGACCAGGTGTTCTAACTGTCTCTGCTGCCCATCCATCCATCCCATCCATCCATCCATCCATCCATCCATCCATCCATCATCCATCCATCCATCCATCCATCCATCCATCCATCCATCCATCCATCCATCCATCCATCCATCCATCCATCCATCCATCCATCCATCCATCCATCCATCCATCCAGGTGGTGATGCACATCGATGCTGCGTCACAATCTGCTGACTCAGCTGATTTCTTGTGATACCTGTGGTAGTTTCATTTCATCGCAGATTACGATAAGTTTTATTTCATTTACTTTATATCTGGCTTTCATTAAGCTGCTGTTTTACTTTGTGGTTTTACTTTACATGACAGCAGCTGATAAATATATTTATAAATATATTTATGGCTTTAGTTTGCCGTCTGCAAAGTCGTTACTGTAAACAAGGTATTTTTAATCAGGATAAAAATGTTGTTTTGTAGCTATTTTGTCCCTATACTTTAAAATAATTTAGTTTACTCTTTTTCATTAAAGTATGTGGGACACCTGCAGCTGCTCAGCTGTTACAATCACAGCAAAACGCAAAGAACTTTGCAGTTTTTCCCAAACTAACCGTCTCATGAGGTACCATCACTTGAAGGTCCAATAGATTTTTTTCTGGTCCAATGTTTTTCATTCGGAACCAGGCAGGACTTGAACTGCGATCTGGATTCTTGTTTCAGAGGATTTTCACTTCTTCAGAATAATTACAGCTCTGGCATTTCTTTAATAAATTCAGATTTCAGATGACAGAGATGAGAACTCACCATCAAGCTGTGCGTTGCTCCCTGTGGGAGAAAAAGCAGAAAGTTAGTGGCAGCTGTGATCGGACCGGTTCCGAGCGGACCGGTTCCGAGCGGACCGGTTCCGAGCGGACCGGTTCTTCCTCCAGGCGAGGCCGAAGGAATTTTCAAGAACAAAGCAGGAATTCCTGTTGTTCTGCAGGTAAACAGCAGCAGGTGACCGTTTGCATCGGTGACATCATCACCAGCTGCGTCTCAACATCCAGCATCATTTCCATTCATGTTTTTATTGTCTGACTGGAAATGAAAGCGTTTGTAAATTTCATTGGTTTGATTGTATTTTATTTAATTCAGTGAATAAAACGTGAATCGAAAAGGAGGAACTGGAAACATTCAGGCTGTTTTACTGGGTCCCAGTTGAAACCACTGGTGTTTATTGCCTCCAGTTTTCTGTTTTATCAGATCTTTGCCGATTTCTTTGTTTTATTTCTGTTCATGTTTTGAGTTTCAGGAGGTTTTTCTTCTCCTTCTCAACGAGTTTTTTTCTCAATTTCAACTTTTCATCCAACTGGTTTTCATAAAACTCCTGCCTGCGGTTTGGTCTCTGCGCCGCCGTTCAGTTTGAACATTTAAACTTTGATATTCTGAACACACTGGGTTCATCCAGAACCAGACGATTTGAACCTTCATCAGCTTTAACACATGTTATTATTAGAAATGTGAACCAAATAAACAGAAATGTGGATTGAAATCCTTGTGAGCAATAATGAATTAATAAGTTTGGAGCTTTGATTTGGTTCTGACTCGTTTAAAGTGCCGGAGCTTCAGGTTTGGACTCTGCTGAGTCAAGCTGAAGGTCCACATCGACTTGTGGTCGGGATCACAGGGTTCGACTGGTTGGACTGGTTTCAGCTTGAGGACAGACTGTCATTGTTTCTGTTTTCTGAGAAGTTTATTATTGACTCAATCTCATTGTTTGCTGCTTCAGGTATTTATGCATCTGAACCATCATGGAACAAGATTTCCCAGAATCCTCTCTGTCAGCAGACAAAGTGTGAGAGTAATTCATGTTCAGGTCCAACATCGCATGGACAACCGGCTGCTTCTGCACATTATCTGACATAAAATAAAATAAAAAGTCAATTTAATAATAATGTGTGAGGATCCTGGTAAAATGATGGTTTAAAAACTGGACTCAGAAGAACTGGGACCAGTTTGGGTTTTTGTGTTTGGGAAACATTTTGTTTTATTTCTGCACTGCTTGCTTGTTGCTCTGCTTTCTGTTTACTGAGCCAACAAGGTCAAAGTTCACAGGAAAAAAAAGCACGGAGCCTTTCATGTTCAAGTTTTCCAGCCTTTCACACCCCAGGATTAAAATGTGTTGTTATTAGAACATCATCGACACTGAGCTGAATGGAGGGCAGGGCCGCTGACGCACCGACCAAAAGGTCAACAGTCTGACTGCAGGTCATCGCCTGCTGCATCCAACCCGACCGGACCACGGAGTCAGGGCCTCGGGTCCGCGGGTCTGAGGGAAGAACCGGGTCAGTGTGGGTCCAATGAAGCAGCTTTAAGAAGCAAACAGGAAATGTGTTCGATTTCCAGAGACGTTTCGCTCCGATGTAGCAGAGACGGCCGACCGGAGGCGGCTTAATCTAAAGGCGAGTCCGGAACCGTTCGGATCATCGCTGGCCTGCGGTCCGACTCCTCCTGAACACGTCTGTTCCAGGAACCATGGACAAACCAGTTGGTGTTCAAAGCTCCTGATCTGGAATCAGCAGTCTGAGAAAGACACGAACTATACCAAGAATCATCCCCACCCGTAACCTTTAACCTTTGCTCCTTAAAACAGGCCGCCAACAACCGTCCAGCTCTTCAGCAACAAACCCAGCGAGGAGAGTTAAGACACTGGACCATCTGGTTCCCTGGATGGTGCCAGACCCTCAGCCTTGGTGGACCCCTGTGGACCCCGTGAGCCTCGGTGGACCCCGGTGGACCCCGTGAGCCTCGGTGGACCCCGGTGGACCCCGTGAGCCTCGGTGGACCCCGGTGGACCCCGTGAGCCTCGGTGGACCCCGGTGGGCCCCTGTGGACCCCGGTGGGCCCCGTGAGCCTCGGTGGACCCCGGTGGGCCCCGTGAGCCTCGGTGGACCCCGGTGGGCCCCTGTGGACCCCGGTGGGCCCCGTGAGCCTCGGTGGACCCCGGTGGGCCCCGTGAGCCTCGGTGGACCCCGGTGGACCCCGTGAGCCTCGGTGGACCCCGGTGGGCCCAGTCGAACCCTAACCCATCCTTCATTCTGAGATTAACTTGTGAACGCTGAAGGATTCCTGCCTGGAATAATCCTGAGTTCAGGTTTGAAAATGAAACTCTTGGTTTTCGCTTAATGTGTTTTAAATTCCATTAAAGTCGTTAACTTTTAAACTCTGCCATCGTCAGACAAATTCTTCCTAAATCTCTGATTTGAGGAGTTTAAAATGAGATGGCTAGCAAATGTAGCATACAATTTTGTAATTTGAACAGTTTATTGTGATAATAATGATACTTTTAGGTTTGCTGGTCATATGTCTTGCAGCGTACCGATAAAAAGTGAACCTGTACTGTAGGAACATTATTGTGTTTTTACAAATACAGCAAAAAAGACATTCTGAAAAAGGTGACAGGAAAAGTTTCCCATCTGTATGTAAAAATATAAACACAATAATAATTTGCTTTCACAAAAAGGTAAAATAAAGGTGGAACCAAAACCTTAGTGACTTCATTAAATGTTGAACAAGAGCGTCTATATTAGAGTCAAACCTCAAAGCAAACATTTGATTACATGTCAAAATGTCCCTGGACTAACGTTTATTAAAGATTAATACCTTCTGGGAGACAGAAGTAAAAAATATACCAACATAAGTTTTAGTGTTATACTGTGATAAAAAAATATATAACATAGAACAATTATAATAAGCTTTATTCAAACTGCTTAATGCTGAGTTTTTAGATTATCGTTCATCAAACTTATTATTTTTTGAAGAGCTGCAGTTTAAATGTTCTGATAAATCCAGAATGACGTCAGAAACGCAGAAGGAACACGACCGATTTAAAGCTGAGCAGGTTTCCTGGTTTCTGCTCTGAACCGTCACCAGGTGAGACTCACCTGCAGCCCAGAGGGTCAGCAGCAGCAGGACGCTGGAGGACGACGACCCGACCTTCATCATGAAGAAACTCTGGAGCTTCTGCTCTAAAGATGAGGAAATGCTGCTCTGAACCTGACCGACTGCTGATGGAGCAATGTGTCTCACACACATATTGACGGACACACACACAGAGACACACCCTCATATTCACACACACACAGAGACACACACACACACAGAGACACACACACACACAGAGACACACACAGAGACACACACACACAGAGACACACACACACAGAGACACACACACACAGAGACACACACACACACAGAGACACACACAGAGACACACACACACAGAGACACACAGAGACACACCCTCATATTCACACACACACACAGAGACACACACACACAGAGACACACACACACACAGAGACACACAGAGACACACACAGAGACACACACACAGAGACACACAGAGACACACACACACAGAGACACACACACACAGAGACACACACACACAGAGACACACACACACAGAGACACACACACACAGAGACACACACACACACAGAGACACACACCACACACACACACACAGAGACACACACACACACAGAGACACACACACACACAGAGACACACACACACAGAGACACACACACACAGAGAGACACACACACACAGAGACACACAGAGACACACACACACAGAGAGACACACACACACAGAGACACACAGAGACACACACACACAGAGAGACACACACACACAGAGACACACACACACAGAGACACACACACACACACAGAGACACACCCTCATATTCACACACACACACACACACAGAGACACACACACACACAGAGACACACACACACACAGAGACACACACACACACACAGAGACACACCCTCATATTCACACACACACACACACACAGAGACACACACACACACAGAGACACACACACACAGACACAACACACAGAGACACACACACACACAGAGACACACACACAGAGACACACACACACACAGAGACACACACACACAGAGACACACACACACACAGAGACACACACACACACAGAGACACACACACAGAGACACACACACACACACAGAGACACACACACACAGAGACACACACACACAGAGACACACACACACAGAGACACACACACACACAGAGACACACACAGAGACACACCCTCATATTCACACACACACACACACACAGAGACACACACACACACAGAGACACACACAGAGACACACACACAGAGACACACACACACACACACAGAGACACACACACACACACACAGAGACACACACAGACACACACACACACACAGAGACACACACGACACACACACACACACAGAGACACACACAGACACACACACACACACAGAGACACACACACACAGAGACACACCCTCATATTCACACACACACACACACACAGAGACACACACACACACAGAGACACACACAGAGACACACACACAGAGACACACACACACACACACAGAGAGACACACACACACACACACAGAGACACACACAGACACACACACACACACAGAGACACACACAGACACACACACACACACAGAGACACACACAACCTCACTACAAACACCTCCCACCATGGTAAGTATTATTTCTTTAATGTATTATTTGTTTTATTCATTTTTATTTATCTGTTTGTTTTTATTTCATCCATTTATGTATTTTAATTTTATTTATTAGGGATAGTTCTGAAGCCACTGATGATGTCACACATGAGAATTGAGCTGTGGGTCAAAGGTCAGATACCTGACCTTCCGGGTTTCAGAGGTCAGGCTGCCAACCAACAGAGGCTGAACGTCAGCTTCTGGGCCGCATCGCGGAAAGGTGAGTCCAGGTGAGTCCAGGTGAGTCCAGGTGAGTCCAGGTGAGTCCAGGTGAGTCCAGGTGCAGCTGTGTTCACAAACAATCCATAGTCTAAAAGTAGCTCCCAGTGACATCATCGGATGCCATGAATAAATCAGCCAATGTGGAGCTCGACTGCGGAAGGTGAAGGACAGGAAGGAGAGACAGCAGCTCTGCTCCGCCTGCCTTTACGTCGCCTGGCGACGGGGTCGACCTCGTTGATCAGACACTCATCATTCTGATCAATCATCACTGATCAGACTGCAGTTTATGGCTGAACCCCCCTGCATTCCCTTTGCTGCCATCTAGTGGACAGAAGTAGAACAGAAACACCTGTTTCTAGTTTCACTGATTCTGCTCATTTCTCAGAAATGTTTCCAGATATTTTTATTTCAGTTTAAATATTTTCTTTCTCTCCATTAAAAGCTGGAGAACATGACAAGTCTGCATGCAGGAAATACTTCATTTTCCATATCCTCCCCCAGCAACCTGATCTAATATTTCGAGTTGGACTTTCAATCATCAGACTAGTTTGTCCTGGAAACAGATCCGGTCCAAGTTGAAGTGAACCTGGAGAGTCCCAGTCCTGCAGCGGCTCCTTCAGTCTAAAACCTGAAATATCCGACAGACTGAACAAACCTCCGGCCTTCAGGAGGATTTCTGCGCTTTATTGAACCAACATGTTGATATTTTTGCTGCAATATTGTCTCCGTCATTCCCGCTCTGGGAGCTTCTGGAAACGCAGTGAAACCATCGGGCTTTTCTGTCTCTTTCTGACATTTTCTCGGAGCGACCAGAAGCCGGGAGAAACTTCTAGCGCGTGACGTCATGGCGCACCGTGCCTCGCCGCGCCCTGTGATTGGCCGAAGGCTGGAGAAGCAGCGAGAAGTGAGCGAGGGGTTGAAATAGCGGTGAGGGCGAAGCTGAGACAGTTAGAGACTCAGAGACCTTCAGAGGACATCAGGAGATCCAGCAGAGGAGAAAGAAGCATCACAGCGCAGGAACCTCTGGACCACAGTAAGTTCTCACTTTTCTTCTTCTCTGCGACTCCAGGCTGAATTCATGCTCTTATCAACTGGGACACAGAAACACACCTTGTAGAGTTTAGTCAAAGACTGAAACATGCCCAACAGATTTGCGGAGCAAATGACGCTTGAACGTGTCCGAGGCGTCGCTGAACGCAGCTTTACAGAAAGCAGTCAGATTGGAGCAAAACCTGCCACAAGGTCCAGTAAAAACCTAAAGCATCTGAAGTGTTTCTGAGAGGGACTAATCCTCCTCTCCTCCTCCTCTCGTGTGTCTCTGCTGGTTCAGGTCTGAAAGGAAACCCAGCCAAGATGTGTGCAGCTAAAAGCGTGGCCGTCGGCATCGACCTGGGCACCACCTACTCCTGTGTGGGGGTTTTCCAGCACGGAAAGGTGGAAATCATCGCCAACGACCAGGGCAACAGGACCACCCCCAGCTACGTGGCCTTCACCGACACCGAGAGGCTGATCGGGGACGCGGCCAAGAACCAGGTGGCCCTGAACCCCAGCAACACGGTGTTTGACGCCAAGAGGCTGATCGGCAGAAGGTTTGAAGAGCCGGTGGTGCAGGCCGACATGAAGCACTGGCCCTTCAAGGTGCTTTCAGAAGGAGGCAGGCCCAAAATTCAGGTGGAGTACAAAGGGGAGAACAAAGCCTTCTTCCCCGAGGAGATCTCCTCCATGGTGCTGGTGAAAATGAAGGAGATCGCCGAGGCCTACCTGGGCCACAAGGTGTCCAACGCCGTGGTCACGGTCCCCGCCTACTTCAACGACTCTCAGCGACAGGCCACCAAAGACGCAGGCGTCATCGCGGGACTCAACGTCTTGAGGATCATCAACGAGCCCACGGCGGCCGCCATCGCGTACGGTCTGGACAAAGGCAAGACTGGAGAGAGAAACGTCCTGATCTTTGACCTGGGCGGAGGCACCTTCGACGTGTCCGTCCTGACCATCGAGGACGGCATCTTCGAGGTGAAGGCCACGGCCGGAGACACTCACCTGGGAGGAGAGGACTTTGACAACCGCATGGTCAACCACTTTGTGGAGGAGTTCAAGAGGAAACACAAGAAGGACATCAGCCAGAACAAGAGAGCCTTGAGGAGGCTGCGCACAGCTTGCGAAAGGGCCAAGAGGACCCTGTCCTCCAGCTCCCAGGCCAGCATCGAGATCGACTCTCTGTTCGAGGGCGTGGACCTGTACACCTCCATCACCAGGGCTCGCTTTGAGGAGCTGTGCTCCGACCTGTTCAGGGGAACCTTGGAGCCCGTGGAGAAGGCTCTGAGGGACGCCAAGATGGACAAGGGCCAGATCCACGACGTGGTCCTGGTGGGAGGCTCCACCCGAATCCCCAAGATCCAGAAGCTGCTGCAGGACTTCTTCAACGGCCGGGAGCTGAACAAGAGCATCAACCCGGACGAGGCGGTGGCTTACGGCGCCGCCGTCCAGGCCGCCATCCTGACGGGAGACACGTCGGGGAACGTCCAGGACCTGCTGCTGCTGGACGTGGCTCCTCTGTCCCTGGGATCGAGACGGCCGGAGGAGTGATGACGGCCCTGATCAAACGCAACACCACCGTCCCCACCAAGCAGACCCAGGTGTTCAGCACCTACTCCGACAACCAGCCCGGGGTCCTGATCCAGGTCTACGAAGGGGAGAGAGCCACCAAGGACAACAACCTGCTGGGCAGGTTTGAGCTGACAGGAATCCCGCCCGCGCCACGAGGGGTCCCGCAGATCGAGGTCACCTTCGACGTGGACGCCAACGGCATCCTGAAACGTGTCGGCGACGGACAAGAGCACCGGCAAAGAGAACAAGATCACCATCACCAACGACAAGGGCCGACTGAGCAAAGAGGAGATCGAGAGGATGGTGCAGGACGCCGAGAAGTACAAAGCCGAGGACGAGTTGCAGAGGGACAAGATCGCTGCCAAGAACTCCCTGGAGTCCTACGCTTTCACCATGAAGAGCAACGTGGAGGACGAGAGCTTGAAGGGCAAGATCAGCCAGGAGGACAAGAAGAAGGTGCTGGACAAGTGCGAGGAGACCATCAGCTGGCTGGAGAACAACCAGCTGGCTGAGAAGGACGAGTACCAACACCAGCAGAAGGAGCTGGAGGGTGTGCAACCCCATCATCAGCAAGTTGTACCAGGGAGGGAGGCCCACTGGCAGCTGCAGAGAGCAGGCAGGAGCCCACAGCCAGGGGCCCACTGTGGAGGAGGTGGACTGAAGGACCACTGGAGGTTTCATATTGTAAAAGTCAAAATTTTGTACCTTGTTCTGTTCATGAGATTTGCATATATGTTTGCTCATTATTTTCTTTTGCTTTATATTAATAAACGTGATTACATTTCACCTGTCTGGTTTCTTTCCTTTCAGAAGTTAAAGTTTTGTAAATGTTGGTTTCGATTGGTCTTCAGGTTTCAGGGGTTCAGAGAGTGAAGCAGCTGGATGGGGAAGAGCTGTTGGCTCCCTGGAGGAGCTGACCCCTCTAAGGTCAGGCTGCTGCCCTGCGACCCGACCCGGACTGGCCGTGGGCAGCAATAAGAACAATCCGGCAGTATCTAAAATCAGCAGCAGGTGTCAGTGTTTGTTTTCCAACAGGACAGGCGGTTCTGTCTGTGGTTCTGTCATCAACCCGTCCACAGCAGCAGGGAGGTCCCTGAACGCCTCTCACCAAGCAAACGATTCATCTGGATTCACCTGTCTGACATCCTGCTGAGGCACCAGATTCATGACCATCTGCTGAAAAATAGATATGGATCGTGGTGTAAAATAAAAACTAATGTTTTTCAGAAGAAGTGAGATAATTATAAAAATCGATCCCAGATGTTTCCGTCACTCGGAGCCTCCGTGCGGTGTCACACAGCTGCTCTGTGGAAATGCGTGATTTCCCGCAGCTTGCGTCGCAGCATCACCATCTTCATCATCATCTTCATCTCTATGTAGGTCGGTTTATTTTTGAAGCGGAAGTCTCACCGGAAGTGGAGCTGGTGCCGCTCGGACTCCCGCCCCAGCAGCCCGTGCCATCTTGTGTTTAGCAGGAACAAAAAACGGGAGGAGGAACGGGTCCAGATGGAGGATGGGGTGCGGGTTCTAGGCCCACTCTAGGCCGGTTCGGTGGGTCAGTATGTCCGGACGGGAAACTTTGCAAGGAAACATCAGCCACACCCCGCGGAGCAGCTGATGGTACAGTTAGCCTGCCAGCTAACACGCTAAGCTATTAGCTCAAGAGCGGCGCAGACCGGAGCTGCGGAGCGGACCGTTACAGACCCGCAGACCCTCCCGGAACCAGCGGCTGGACCCCAGCGGCTGGACCGCAGCGCCTCCCCAAAACCCAGGAGAACCGTCATGGACATGGACCAGGAGTTCTGCTGAGGGGAAACCCGCGATATGAGGACCGAGACCGGCTGCTAGCTTTGCTGCTAACCGTTAGTTTTTCGGTCCAGAGGGGACCTCAAGAAGCTGCGGTAAGTTCGGCCACGTCCGGGTCCGAACCTGGGCCCAATATGGTCCGAACCTGGGCCCAATATGGTCCGAACCTGGGGGCCAGTAAGGCCAGCAGGGTCTCCAGTACAGAAGGTTTCTTAGCAGCCTAAATCTGATTTCTTCTTCCTCCAGGTTAGCTAAATGTTTCCCAACCGCTGAACTGCCACGATTCCTTCATTAAACCTGGTTTATCTGTCAGTTAAACCTTTTTATTTTATTATAATAAAGATTAGTTACATTTTATAATATATATTTTTATTATTCTCTGAATAAAAGCAGGTAATCTGTCGGATGTTAAAAGCTTACTGTTCCTAAAAACAGATGTCCCTTTCATATCAATAAATTATTATTGATTTGTATATTATTAGTCCCTGAAGCTCACAGGAACAGATTACTGAGCCAAGTGGAAATATTTTGACCATAAACATGGATGCTCAGGTTGTTTGTATGTAGAGTTTGATTTATTTCGGGTTCAGAGTCAGAGCAGCTTCACCAAACAGTGCTGCACTTTTATTGCTGACCCGGTTCTGCAGGTCTTTCACTTATGTTTAATTATTATTCAGATGCTTAGTGCTGAAGCTGGTTGTTGTGCTGTTTTAGCCCTTCCTGATCTTTCCTTGTCACTGTAGATGTATTTAAACTAGATGTTGCTCGCTCTGTTGGCATATTATTAACACTGTTGGTGGGCAACATTTACTGGTTGCCCAGAGTTTTTCCTTTCCTATTTTAATTACACTCCCTTTATTATTTTACTGCCTTTTAAGAGGCAGGGAAATGATTTTCTGCAGTCAGCTCAGATGCTGCTTTCCGTCTGCAGCTGCAAACATCACTAAGCTTTCCCAGCCATTAGCAACAAGAGGGTTGATTTTCAGAGACGGTGGGATGTGGCTGCGCTCCAATCCTTTGCACCTCTTTTTACTCTCAGGTTGTTGTCTGCAGGTGAAGACAAAAGCAAGTTAAGTTTTCAGAATGTGATAAAAACCACTGAGCTTTAAAGCGCCCGTGAGCCGATATGTCAAAGGAGAGCAAACACCAAAACATGGGAGAGTCCAGGCCTGCTGCTTAAGGTCCATTGCTCTGTCTCTGGTGATGCTGCAGCTCTTGCTCTGGATCTGTCCTCTGTGAGCCAGACACTTTTATTCTTGTAGAGATGATGAATCTCTATTATTAGCTTAGCAATCATTCTCAGCAGTCGGCTCAGATCCAGACATGTGACCGGCATCCCCGTCACTCTGGAGCTGCTTCCTCTTTGGCGGCAGCCCAGGCAGGAAGTGAAGGATGTTCTCCAGGATGTGAAGGGTTAACATGGCTGCTGTCAGAGCCGCAGGGCGCTGGTTCCCATCATCGTTACTGGAACCAGTTCTTCAGTTGAACTGGAAGCTGCAGAGCTTAAAAATACTAACATTGAAACCCTGGATGCAGTCTGCCTGCACCTGTTACCTGAACTATGCTCCTATTGGCTGGAGCTCAGCGAGGAGGAGAAACCACGTTTAACCGGAAATACAGAAGAGGCAGGAAAACCTTTATTGGTCCATTCATAAAAACATTATCCATCCCAAACAGAAGTGACACGTTGTCGGCACACAGAGCATCTTCAGCTGCAGTCAGTCTGCCAGCGACTCTGAACAGTTTCTCTGACTGAAGACTATTTTAGTATGTCGTCTTATGCTAATATGCTAACAACTGAATATCAGCTAATCCACCTCCTTTGCTTTTGCTGCTCCTGTTTAATCTCTGTCTGGTTGTGCAATAGAGCGAGGTTGGAGCAGGGGAAGAGAACTTCCTCTGGGACATGGGGTCAAAGCTCATGGATGATTTGAGCCTCTGAGATGCTAGTCAGCTCGTCTCAGTTGTAAAGACAATACCTTGTCTTTACAAGGTATTGGCATCATGACTATCAGGAAGGCAAATAGAGAGCAGCTGTCTCCCAGCTTTGTTTATGGCACTAAAGATGGCCGCCGCCTCTGGATGGATTTCAGTAAAGATGCTGATAAACAGGAAGCCCAGCTAACAGCAACGGCCATTTGTGGAGCATTGACTGCAGCTGCTGACCCAGTTCTGAACTGGTTCTGTTCTCTTCTGGTCTGAGTTATAACGGGGACCAGCAGTGGTGGGTCGGGATGTGATGCGTTCACTGACTCAGGCTGCTTTCAGTTCATAAGCATTTTCAACCATTGTTTATTTTTACTGTCTGCCTTCTTCTACTGAAGTCTGACGCACGTTGATGATGTAACTGTCAGCTCAGTGCGACTCGGCTGTAGGGTCGAGGTTTTCCAGGGAACAGCGGGCGTGCAGCCACTCGTCTGGGATCAACCGTCTCCGTCCCTGTTATCATGGAAACCTGGTCTTTATCTCTGCTGGAACCGACTTATATGGAAACCCCAATATAAGTTTTCATTGTCCAGTCCAGACCCGGGGTCTGATCAGACCTGCTTCACTTCCTCCAGATTTTCCAACCAGGCAGAAAAAGTTTGGGTTCTAGACACGAACCGGTCCTGGTCCCAGCCAACACCAACACCTGGCCGTCCCTGCATAGTCCCCGTTGTCCTCTAAAGTCCTCTAATGTCCTCTGCTGTCTCCATCCCGTCCCAGGTGCAGCCATGCCCTCCAGTGCGCGTGCCGGGAGCCTCAAGGACCCCGATGTCGCCGATCTGTTCTGCAGGGACGATCCGGAGAAGCTCTTCACCGACCTCAGGGAGATTGGACACGGCAGCTTCGGAGCCGTCTACTTCGTGAGTACTCCAGTTCTGGAGCGATGGCAGAAGCAGAACCCACAGAACCGCTCGCCCAATCAGAACCGGTTCCTGAACGCGGCGCTGTAGAACCAAGTCCGGAGTGGTTTAGATCAGAACAGGGTTTTCGTCTCAACCTGAATCTGAGCGCAATCAGACGGAGCAGAGGAGGCCTGAAAAGTGTTTCTGTGTGTGTGAGTGTGTGTGTATGTTTCTCTTTCTGTGTGTGTGAGTGTGTGTGTATGTTTCTCTTTCTGTGTGTGTGTCCTGTAAGCTGATCCTGAGTGGGAGGCAGACGTTCTCTTCCAAACTGCTGTGAGATGCTCCTGAGTGTGTCAGAGCCTCTGCAGAAACAGCAAACGTCCTGTAGCGTGCCCGCACACACACACACACACACACACACACACACACACACACACACACACACACACACACACTAAACCGAGGTAAATTAGTTGTTAGTTGATGTTTCCCTGAAATCCATCAGAAAGTCTCGTTTTGAGACAGGTTGGTGATAATGATGAATTATTCAGTTTCATCTGGATTAGACTTCGGTCTATTTCCATGGAAGCGACGCCTCATCATAAACTTGTGAAGCCATGGGCGTAAATCCCGGGGGGTCGAGAGGACCACCCCAATCTTGGAGAAGTCTTTAATTTGCCCTGCAGAGAAATCATGAAGGAAACCTTGAATTGAAACAATATCAATATGAAAAGGCAAAAGAAAGAAATGAGAATGAATCTTTAGGTCCCCCCTTTGTTAGAACCCGGTCCTGGTCCCGGTTCTGGTCCCGGTCCAGGTTCTTGTCCTGGTTCTGGTCCCAGACCCTGCCCCTGATTGGAGGTTCGTTCTTCGTGTGTCTCCAGGCGCGTGACGGACGCAGCAATGAGGTGGTGGCCATTAAGAAGATGTCCTACAGTGGCAAGCAGACCAATGAGGTAACGGCTCCGTCTCGTGTGATGTCATGACTTCCTGAGGCTGTGGCTTTGCCCACCAGAGTGCTCTGAGCTCACTTCCTGTCTGCCAGTAATTGCAGTATGTTGTGATGTGCAGAAATGGCAGGACATCATCAAGGAGGTGAAGTTTCTGCAGAAGCTGCGTCACCCCAACACCATCGAGTACCTGGGCTGCTACCTGAAGGAACACACGGCATGGGTAGGTACCGGCGGCCGCGTTTCCGCCTCCTCCGGGTCGGTCCTCGCTAACTGTCTGTCTGTTCCTCAGTTGGTGATGGAGTACTGTCTTGGTTCGGCCTCTGACCTCTTGGAAGGTCAGTTGAGCTCTGTGTGTCGGCCATCTTGTCTTCCTGCTGGGTCTGACCTTGTTTCTGTCCTCAGTCCACAAGAAGCCGCTGCAGGAAGTGGAGATTGCTGCCATCACCCACGGAGCGCTGCAGGGTCTGGCTTACCTGCACTCTCACAACATGATCCACAGGTACATCTGCTGCCTAGCACTGTTGGTGCCATTAGCTCCTTTAGCGCCACTAGCTCAGCTAACTCAGCAAAGTCCGTTAGCTCCATTAGTTCTGCTAGCAATGTAAGCGGTGTTTGTGCCGTTAGCTCTGCTTGTTCTATTAACTCTTTTATCACCATTAGCTCTTTTGGCACCATAGCTCCGCTAGCTCTGTCAGCAATGGTTAGGGTTAGGCTAAACACTGTGTTGGCTTTTGAAGCACTGTTAGCTTCTTTAGCGCCATTAGTTAACGCTGTTAGCACTTATAATAGCAGGAGCTCTTGTAGTCCTGTGAGCTCTGTTGTAGGCCTGTCACAATAACAGATTTTGCTGGGCGATAAATTGTCTCAAAAATTATTGCGATAAACGATAATATTGTTTGAAGACATTTTTTCATTGATTTAATGGAAATTACGTACTAATACATGCGATTTCCTGCCAAAGATAGATACACTTTACTTTCAAAAGACACTTAACACTGGGACTGATACACAAAATAAATAAAACAACTAAAAATAAAATAGATTCTTAGTCTCCAGTAACAATAAATGTACTTGAATAAAAACTGAACAACATGAAGCCAAAGTGGAAATAAACACTGCATTCAACCAAAAGAGTGCAGATTATGAAGTCTGTATAGTTTATTGCCTTCAGTAATTATTAGATTTAAATAGAGAAGAATCCGACTGAATGATGCAAACTAAAGGATTTTTTACCCAGAACGACAATCTGAGAACGTTATTCGTTCTGAGATTGTCCCTAGTGTGTTACGGTAGATCGTCGTGTGTTACGGTAGATCGTTGTGTGTTACGGTAGATCGTTGTGTGTTAAGGTAGATCGTTGTGTGTTAAGGTAGATCGTCGTGTGTTACGGTAGATCGTTGTGTGTTAAGGTAGATCGTTGTGTGTTAAGGTAGATCGTCGTGTGTTACGGTAGATCGTCGTGTGTTACGGTAGATCGTTGTGTGTTACAGTAGATCGTTGTGTGTTACGGTAGATCGTCGTGTGTTACAGTAGATCGTCGTGTGTTACGGTAGATCGTCGTGTGTTACGGTAGATCGTTGTGTGTTACGGTAGATCGTTGTGTGTTACGGTAGATCGTGGTGTGTTACGGTAGATCGTTGTGTGTTACGGTAGATCGTTGTGTGTTACGGTAGATCGTGGTGTGTTACGGTAGATCGTTGTGTGTTACGGTAGATCGTGGTGTGTTACGGTAGATCGTGGTGTGTTACGGTAGATCGTTGTGTGTTACGGTAGATCGTTGTGTGTTACGGTAGATCGTGGGTGTGTTACGGTAGATCGTCGTATGTTACGGTAGATCGTCGTGTGTTACGGTAGATCGTCGTGTGTTACGGTAGATCGTTGTGTGTTACGATATATCGTTGTGTGTTACGGTAGATCGTGGTGTGTTACGGTAGATCGTTGTGTGTTACTGTAGATCGTTTTGTGTTACAGTAGATCGTTGTGTGTTACGGTAGATCGTTGTGTGTTACGGTAGATCGTCGTGTGTTACGGTAGATCGTTGTGTGTTAAGGTAGATCGTCGTGTGTTAAGGTAGATCGTCGTGTGTTACAGTAGATCGTTGTGTGTTACGGTAGATCGTCGTGTGTTACGGTAGATCGTTGTGTGTTACGGTAGATCGTCGTGTGTTACGGTAGATCGTTGTGTGTTACGGTAGATCGTTGTGTGTTACGGTAGATCGTTGCTCTGATCTAAATCCAGGATTTATCCAGACTGGGAGAGTGACGCAGCCTGTTGAATGTGACCGGTAACCAATCAGAAAGCGCGGATTCTCCTCCTGCTTTCTGAGGGGAAACATGGAGGGAATCCCGAACAGCTGACACAATGCAACCCAAAGTCCAGTAGACATCGGAAACAACATGAATGTTTATTCAACATTTCATGCAAAGAAAATATAAATAACTAGGGGAGGAGTTGGAGCGAAATTTTTAGCAGAAAACCCGGTAACTTTTCAGCTGTTCTTCGTTAAGGTGACATAAATAGTTTATAATGATTTTCATTCAGTCAGACTGACACTAGCCACATACATGCAGGTAGATTGTAGTAAGGAATTGATTAATGCCTGGTTTCAAAGTTAGTGAACTGGACTTATTATTTTGTTTCCATTGTTGGACACAACACGGTTCGATTGAACCGTTATAGCGAGGATTTCTGTCGGCTAATGTCTCTCAGGTTTTGATAAAGGGCGACAATCGGCGACATCAGATGGTGCAGCGCGCTGGGCATTACACTAAGAAATAAGGAAGGGAGGGTCAGTGGAGTTGAGCCTTTTTTCATTCAGTGTCATCAACAGGAAGAGAAAAAGGCAGGAAGAAACGACATAGACGATAATTGAAATGACGTCGATAGTTTTAATTTATCGTGCGATGAATTGATTTATCGTTTATCGCTACAGGCCTACTCTGTTGGCTTGCTAGCTTCATTAGCTCTGTTAGAACAGTTAGTTCTGTTAATCACATTATGTGCGTTAGCACAGCTGGTGCCCTTGAATCACCTTGTTCAATGTGCGTATCAATAAATCATGTGCCTTGCCTTTAGCTCTGTTGGCTTGTTAGCTACATTAGCTCCATTCAGCACCAGTTGCTTCAGTCTCACCTGTTGAGATGTTCCTCATGTGATGAGCTTCCTTGCAGATGATTGGTGGTTCAGTCCAAAACCGTTCCAGAATCGGTGTTTGATGTCGGACCCCTGGCTGTCTGCTGGACTGTGTCAGGCCTCAGATCTTATCCTGGCAGAATCCTTGAAGAATAATTACTGCAAAAGCTGTATATTAAACATCAATACTTTCTGTTGCATTTGCCATTGAAAGAAAATTATGTCAGCAATAATTTTTCCCTGATTATAAATAATCAGTCGCATCACACCAGTCCAAGGGCCATAAATGGCCCCTGAAACACACTGTGGACACCCTAATTCGAGCTGTTTGAATGTCTCCTGGAATATGAAACATGAAACTCATCATTAACAGTAATGATAACATTAATAACTCAATGGAAGTAGATTTTCCCCTTTTTTGTAGTGGACATTATTTACAATCAGCGCAACATCTGGCTTTTAAATGGTGGATTTCTCTGATTGGTCCTAATCTGCTCCAGACTTCCGCTGGAGGAGCTGCGCTGCTCACTGCCCCTGGTTGCCGCTGATGCTTTGTTACCTGATTGTTCTGATGGTGTATCCGGTCTGACGGGTTCTAGCGCAGGAACCAATCAGGGGAGGGCTGCTTGCCCAGCGTCACCCTTTCTTTCTAACAGAAAGAAGAACGGCTCGGCGAAGTTCTGATGCAGACTCAGAGCAAGTCGGACAGCCTGCTTCTCTAACCATCAGAAAATCAATAAAACTGACCATCACAGCTTCTCCAAATCGTTTACATCCTGGGAATTTGGCACATCAAACCAGGCAAGGAGCCAAGTTCAGGCGATGTCTGCAGAGCCCTGAACAAGAACAAAAATACCACCAGCTCCTCATACCCCGCACTCCTCATGTGATGGATTCACACACAAAGTGGTTCTAAAGGAGATGATGCAAAGCTGTAATCAGACGTTAATAATCCTGATTTCTTCAAAAGGTTTGCAGGTTTCCAGAGATTCAGTTCCATAAACATCGGATGATGTCTAAATAAATTTGTTTGCTGCCTTTTGGCTATTATTGTTTGACATCTTCCTTCTGTAACCCAGACGATGGTCAGCTTATCGATCCGGTTCTGTTTTCCTTCAGACTGAGTCCATCTGCCCGCCGTCGCCGTGTCTTTCCAGCACGGCGAGTCAGGCAGAAGGTTTTCAGGTTGGGCGGGGAAGTGATTCATCAGATAAATGACACTAGCAGTGAATTTGGTGCAGAAAGTTTATTTTATGAACAGCAATGACTGCAATGAAGCTGATTCAACCATCGTAGATTAAATAAGTGTTCATGCTTCACTCCATCCTGGTACCAGGGCGATTCTGTTGTCTGTGGTATGTGGTCAGAACCTCACACTATCCACCACCATCTGATGTCCATTCTGGTTCTGGTTGGGTTCTGGAGGATCGTTTTTAAAAGGTCAGTCTGTGTTTCAGAGACGTGAAGGCCGGGAACATCCTGCTGACAGAACCGGGTCAGGTCAAGCTGGGCGACTTCGGGTCGGCCTCCATTATGTCTCCGGCCAACTCCTTCGTCGGAACGCCGTACTGGTGAGCTCTGACCATCCGGTCGCGTTTCGGCCCAAACTGGCCTGAACGGTTCCATCTGACCCGGTCTGTGTTGCAGGATGGCTCCAGAGGTGATCTTGGCCATGGACGAGGGTCAGTACGACGGGAAGGTGGACGTCTGGTCTCTCGGCATCACTGGCATCGAGCTCGGTGGGTAAAACCTGACCCGGTCCCCACCTGGGCAGAACCGTCGGGTCCTAACGTGTCTCTGCTCTGTTCCCAGCTGAGAGGAAGCCACCGCTCTTCAACATGAACGCCATGAGCGCCCTGTACCAGATCGCCCAGAACGAGAGCCCAGTGCTGCAGTCCAACCACTGGTGAGACGCCATCCGAACAGCGTACAGCCTGTCCCTCCATCATACCACCCGTCTGTCCATCGGGCCGTCTGTCTGTCCAGCATTGTCCGGCCAATTAGCCGTCTCACCACTGTCCTCTCAGCTCCTAACACCTAGTTGCCCTGCAGGTCCGACTCGTTCCGGAGCTTCGTGGACTCGTGTCTGCAAAAGATTCCTCAGGACCGTCCCACCTCAGACGTCCTACTGAACGTAAGCCCTCTGGTTCTGGTTCTGGTCCTGTTCGCTTGCGGTTCTGGTTCTGTTTAACCCCTCCTGTCTCCTGCAGCACCGTTTCCTGAGCCGTGAGCGCCCGCTGACGGTCATCATGGACCTGATTGCGCGGACGAAGGACGCCGTGCGGGAGCTGGACAACCTGCAGTACCGCAAAATGAAGAAGATCCTGTTCCAAGAGACACAGCAGAACGGGCCGCCGTCTGAGGGCGGCGACGACGACGAGGTATGACCCCTTAGGACAGACGCTGACCCCTCAGAGCGCTGTGATTGGGCGTGCAGCTCTGGAAGTCCCGCCCACTGAGAGAAACCATGATTTCTCCAGTACACCTGCCATGTTTTTGTAGTAAAATGAATTGGGCAGGAAATGTAGAAATATTACTGGGTAATTACATGTTACAAGAAAACGGCGCCAGTAAAACAATATTTAAACCCACGACTATACAATCTTAAAAACAACAAATCAAAAAATACAATTACTGTATTTTCATGACTGTAGGGCGCACATAAAAGTCTTAGATTTTCTTCAAAATGTGCGGTGCGCCCTGTGTGTGTTGTAGTAGAGAACACCATGCGAACGCTAACGGGGAAAGTGTGAGCGTTGATTGTACATGAAAGAACGGGTTATGCAGAACATTGTTGTTTTAACAACCCTGAAAATAGCAAAGGCAGTTTAAACTGAAGGCCATCAGCTACGCAGAGGAACATGGAAATCAGGCAGCCGAGTAAATTTAAGATTAATGAATCGATGGTTCGCAACGCGCTGAGGCAACGTGTTGAGGCAACATGTTGAGGCAACAAGCTGAGGCAACGTGTTGAGGCAACGGGCTGTGATTGGTCACTCTGCCAGATTTAAGTGTATAAAATTTAAAAATATCTTTTATAAATCTGTTTTAGGAATAAATCTGCACCGCCAGCAAAATGTTCAGAGCAGCAGAGAAACTTGCAATCCGACTTATTTAAAAATTTAAAATAAAAATTGACGTTTTTGTTCTAAAATTATTTTTTCCCTAAAAACAATGTATAGTTATGTTCATAATTATGGCAGCGTGTTTAAAAAAATGAGCAAACCTCATAATTCTTCAAATAAATTGTATTTAAATGAACACAAATGCATTGGGTACATTTTATTTGAAAGCCAAGTAGTAAGTAATTGAATATTACAAGATTCTACAGAAAGTCCAGAAATACAATGTTCCAAAAACTGCAGTGTTGACATCTTTCTTACAAACTCTAAAACAAACTCAGAAATGCTGGAAGATTCATCTTTTTTTATCGGGGATAAAAAATCGCTAAATATCGTAGAATTGATGTGATTTTACCGCCCAAGTTCTGAGGCACCAGAACCGGGTCGGGTTGCCTCATGGTGTGTGTGTGTGTGTGTGTGTGTGTGTGTGTGTGTGTGTGTGTGTGTGTGTGTGTGTGTGTGTGTGTGTGTTAGGAGGTGGAGCCCTACCTGCTGCAGGGCGGCACGGTGAACAGCGTGGAGAGCTCCCAGTCCGTTCCCAGTATGTCCATCTCGGCCAGCTCCCAGTCCAGCTCCGTCAACAGCCTGGCGGACGCCTCCGACAGCAGCGGCGACATGGCCATCCTGCAGGAGGGCGAGAACACCGTCACCTCCAACAGCTCCATCATCCACCGGCCCACAGTGAGCCCAGGGCCTGGTCGGGTCGGGTCGGGTCGAGTCGGGACCGTCTCTAACGCCTCCCTCCTCTGCAGGGTCAGGACAACATCTACGACGACCCGTACCAGCCGGAGCTGGAGCAGCCGCAGGCCCCCTCTGCCGGCCGCCGCCGGGCCTTCTACCGGAACCGGGACCACTTCGCCACCATCCGGACCGCTTCCCTGGTAGGTTCCGGAGAGGACAGGTCCCGGCTCGTGTCCGGGCGGATGTGTGACTTGTCGCCGTCCCGCAGGTGACTCGTCAGATCCAGGAGCACGAGCAGGGCTCGGCGCTGCGGGACCAGATGTCCGGCTACAAGCGCATGCGGCAGCTGCACCAGAAGCAGCTGCTGGGCCTGGAGAACAAGCTGAAGGCGGAGATGGACGAGCATCAGCTGAAGCTGGACAAGGAGCTGGACGCACAGAGGACAGGCTTCTCCGCCGAGCTCGACAAGCTGGCCCGCAAGAACCAGGCGGTCCTGGAGAAAGAGGTCCGTTTCGGCCGCTGCTCCGGTCCCGCTCCCCCTCCCGGTGCCTGATGTGTTCGTTCTGCATGTCCTGCAGGTCAAAGCCGCTCTGGCCGAGGAGAAGAAGTTCCAGCAGCAGATCCTGGGCCAGCAGAAGAAGGAGCTCAACTGTCTGCTGGACTCCCAGAAGCGCCAGTACCGTCACCGCAAGGAGCTGCTGAAGGAGGTAAGACCCGGAGCCGGATCAGGAGCAAGGGACCGCCCGGCCCCCGATCCGGGTCTGAGCCGGGTCTTCTCCCGTCCGGAGCAGGAGCTGAGCGAGAACCAGTCGACCCCCAAGAGGGAGAAGCAGGAGTGGCTGATCCAGCAGAAGGAGGTGATGCAGCAGCTGATGGCGGAGGAGGAGGCCGGCCTGCTGCGGCGCCAGAGGCAGTACTACGACCTGCAGTGCCGCCAGTACAAGAGGAAGATGCTGCTGGCACGCCACAACCTGGAGCAGGACCTGCTGCGAGAGGTAGGGCCGCTCCAGAACCCCCGCGGAACCCGATCCGGACCCGATCCGGACCAGATGCCTTCCTAACCCTGCTGTCGCCCCAGGAGCTGAACAAGAAGCAGATCCAGAAGGACCTGGAGTGCGCCATGCTGCTGCGGCACCACGAGTCCACCCAGGAGCTGGAGTTCCGGCAGCTCGGCTCGGTCCAGAGAACCCGGGCCGAGCTGATCCGGACCCAGCACCAGACCGAGCTCACCAACCAGATGGAGTACAACAAGCGGCGCGAGGACGAACTGCGGCAGAAACACGCCGTGGAGGTCCGGCAGCAGCCCAAGAGCCTCAAGGTAGCCGGGTCAGAACCGTCCTGGTGGCCCGTGGGCCGGGCCGGCACTCGGAGAGGTTCTAATCTGACTGTGTTCATTTCAGTCCAAAGAGGTCCAGATCAAGAGGCAGTTCCAAGAGACCTGCAAGATCCAGACCCGGCAGTATAAGGCTCTACGGAACCACCTGCTGGAGACCACGCCCCGGTCCGAACACAAGCTGGTTCTGAAGCGGCTGAAGGACGAGCAGACCCGGAAGCTGGCCATCCTGGCCGAGCAGTACGACCACTCGGTCAACGACATGCTGTCCACGCAGGCCGTCAGCAAGGCAAGCCGCTGGTGACCGGTTCTGACCCGGTAGCTGCTTCTGGCCCATCCTAGTGCCGGGGATTCAGCCTGGCGGGCCCCCCGGCTTTACTGACCCCTGCCAGGCTGAGTGTTTGTGTTCAATGCTTTTATAAACCAGTAGCAGAGGCAGACTGGTTAAGTTTAGAGTTGTGAGAAATGCTAAATTTATAATTATTGTATTTTATCACATGCAGTAGCGCCCCCTAGCCTAACCTGCAGGTTCTGACCCGGCATTTGTCCCCGCAGCTGCGGCTGGATGAGACGCAGGAGGCGGAGCAGCAGGCGCTGCGGCTGCAGCTGCAGCAGGAGCTGGAGCTGCTCAACGCCTACCAGAGCAAGATCAAGATCCACACGGACGGGACGCACGACCGCGAGGCGCAGGAACTGGAGGCGCGGGTGGCGCTGCGCCGCGCGCTGCTGGAGCAGAGGGTACGGCTCCGACCCGGTTCTGACCCGTTACTAACCCGGTTCTTACCCGTTCTGACCAACCTCTCCCCGCAGATCGAAGAGGAGATGGTGGCGCTGCAGGCGGAGCGGTCGGAGCGGATCCGGACGCTGCTGGAGCGCCAGGCCCGGAGGTGGAGGCGTTCGACTCAGAGAGCCTGCGGCTGGGCTTCAGCGGCATGGCGTTGGGCGCCGCCGACGGCTACCCGCCGCCCGGCCAGGCCGCCGGTGCCGGAGGCTGGCCGGCCGGCCCGGCCCGCGCTCCGGCGGCCACTGGAGCCACGGCCTCCAGAACTCGCCGGCCGGCCCGGCCTGGCGCGGCCAGAACCACGGCGCCGGCTTCGGCCGGGCCGAGCCGAGAGCCCGCGCCCCCCCTCACCACCACCAGCAGCAGCTGTACCAACACCACCAGAGCACGCCGCAGCTGTACCGCGACGAACGCGACGGCCGGGAGCGCCAGACCCGCGAGTGGCCGTCCGGCGGCGGCCACTACTCCCAGCATGCCCGGGGCCTCCAGCAGCTCTCCTACCACGCCTCCTCCCAGTCGCTGGCCGTGCTGCCCCCCGCCGCGCCTCCACCCATCTCCTTTTCCTGCTCCTCCCCCGCCTCCTCCGCCTCCTCCTCGTCCTCCTCGCAGGGCGGCTATGGCGGCGGCCTGGGCGTCCGCGGCCCAGGCATGGCCCTCAGGAACAGCCCCCAGCCGCTGAGGCGCACGGCGTCCGGAGGCCCTGGCGGCGGCGGCGCCGGCGACGGGGGGCTCAGCCGAAGCACCTCTGTCACCTCCCACATCTCCAACGGCTCCAACCTGTCCTTCTCCTGAGACGTCCGCCGCGGCCTTCCCAGGAGCCACTAGGCGGCGCCAGAGAGGGGCTCCTGGGAGTCAGCTGCTGTCTCCAAGCGGTCAGAGGAAACGGCGCTCCAGGACGTTCCACCAGGCGCTTCACGCCACAGAAACCCAGGATTCTTTGAGTATCTGAGGAACGCCACCTATCTAAAGAGTTGTAAGGAGCGTCCTGGAGCTGCAGCTCCTCCAGAGGCAGTTGGCCCTCAGGGACCCGAGATGAGTTCCTGACGGTCGGTCCAACTGAAGGCGATGTTCTCCAGAACCTCATGGGGCCCGGTCCTCAGGCTGTCGATCCCTCATGTCTCAGAAGCTGTGACATCATCAGGATCCCGGACGTTCCTGACGAGTCGCGTTGCTGAACCGGATACCTCCTCTCGGGTCCCATTGTTGGTTCCGACCCACTGGGTTGCACAGAACCCGGGGCAGAGCTGACGTGGACGTGTGTAAATATGGGCGTCCAGCAGGGGGCAGCATTGATACCGCTGCTGTCCTCTGCCAGATTGACCCAAAACGATCGGGTTCAGAACCTGGGGTCGTCTGCAGCTTTCGTCCTTTCTGGTCCTCAGTCAGAACTTTCTAGCGATCCAGTCTGACCCAGACCATTAATCCTCAGGATTAAATAACTTCAACTGCAAATTTGATGATGTAATTTCGGCTGGCTGCAGAAAGCAGAGCTGGAAAAACACTAACAGGATCATCTGACTGAGGATCCAGCAAACCGGGAATCATGCACACCTGTCCTCCAATCAGAATCCGCTGTGGTGTGTGTGTGTGTGTGTGTGTGTGTGTGTGTGTGTGTGCATGTGTGTGCGTGTGTGTGTGTGCGTGTGTGTGTGTGCGCGCGCAGCACTGACGGCTCATTGAACAGGTCTGTCTGCCTCTGCAGGTCAGACGGGCGCATGGAGCCGCTGGACAGTGAACATGCAGCTCACTACCTATTTATAAAGGCAGGTGTCCTGATGGGGGCGCTGTTCAACACTCTGATTGGCGTTATTGTTGTACATAGAAGCACTAACTTTAAGACTGTAATAAGTAATGATTATTTTGTCACGTGATTTAAGCCAATTTGTACTAGAAGGAGGCAGACGCCATCCCATAATAACTACTGCTGCAGTCGGAGTATTTATGTTAAGATGTCATTGCCTATGTTGACCACTAGGTGGGAAATAAATGCGATGTTACTGTGATAGAACTATAAGAATTAAATATTTCCGGGGGACTATATTTCCCAGCATTCCCAGTGAGGTCTCAGGGGTGGCCTCTCGCTGTGGGCGGGGCCTCTCGCTGTGGGCGGGGCCTCTCGCTGTGGGCGGGGCTGAGATCTACTCCAGTTGGTTTGGAGCCGGTATTGAAGTCCGCAGTGCAACAGACTTTAGATGAGTTCACTACATTCGTGCCATGTTTTTATTCTTCCTTCCTGGTCTAGTCCAAGTTTTTCCCTGGAGCAGTGTAAAACACGGAGCCCAAAGAGATAAATGATCAGATAATCCTGTGGATGAGCTGTGATCAGTATAATCTATCATTTGTCCATTCATTTTGGCTAAAATAATGATTGTTGCCTTAAGATTAAATATTAAAAATGTCATAAAATATTGACAAATATTTGAATTAAACTGAATCAAGTCTTTTTTTTTTACATTTTGTTTAGAAACTTTTAGCTTATTTTTTTTTGTCTGCTAAAATGACGAAAGTCCTTCACTAAAAAAACAATAAATAAAACCCATTAGAAAATGAGTTTCTAACTAAAATAGAAATGGAGGCTGAAACTAAATATCACAATAAAATATTTTAAACCAAAATATTTGCATAAAAATATTTAGATTTAAAGAACTGAGAGAAAACTTTGATTTACATCAAAGAGTTTATTTAAAAATTATAAAATTGTCTTTAGAACTTTTTTTAAAAAATCTAAATAATTAGATTTTGTTTTATGTTTTCTAAAAGCTTCTGGCAATATCTCTGAAAATAGGCAAAACATTTAAATGTGATAGAAACAAACATCACAATACTGAAAAAGAAATATCGCCATTTTCAGTAATAAACTTGTCCGATGTATTGATCAGATGTAGAATCAGATGGTTTATGTATTGAACTGTCTCTTCACATCCACAGGATTGTTTTCGACAGTTTTGTCCCTCTTGGCCTCCGTAGCAGGAATCTGCTCCTGTTTTCCACAGACGCTTCATGGTCGCAGTTTTTTGCACAGAGCCATCTGCAGCTAACAGGAAGGGAGACGAACCGCCGTCAGTCTCAGACCTTATATGGAAATGGGACTGTTGCACTCCGGAAGTGAAGGGGGCGCTGTTTCCTATATCATCCACAGGCTCCTGTTTTTATTTTCTTTTGAAATCTGATATATTTTCACATTTAAGAAGAATTTTCTCTCAGCATGTATTTGAACTTCTCTTAAAGGTGGTAATGTAACTAATATAATTACATTACTATAGCGCCCCCTTCACTTCCGGAGTGCAATGGTCCCATTTCCAAATAAGGTCTGAGAGTGCCAGCGGTCCGTCCCCCTTCCTGTTAGCTGCAGCAGGTCCTTCTCTCCATCGCCGTCTCTTCGTGTCATGTCTACCTCATTTGCACTGAGAGAATATGAACAGTGGAGCGGATTCCACAGGAAACGCGTCTTTCCTTTTCTTTCCTTTGGTGTTTGTGCAAATGTTGACTTGCCGCTGGGCGAAAGGACAAACGGACACATTCCGTGTTGGACAGAAAGACGCTGTTTGGATGTGGAGAGTCAGAATCTGCTGGCCTCCCTGGATGAACTTTTTGTTTCAAACTGTGAGATTTCATTTTGCCAACTTTAGTTTCCTGTGGCTCCTGAGGCGGTGAAACGCTGCAGCTGCACCGCAAACGAGTCAAACCAACTTTGTCTCTGTCTCACCTGCTTTTAAAGGCCAACTTCCTTTTCTCCGCTGTTCTGATGAACGCATCATTTAAACTTAACATTTTACTTAAAACCACAATGAGAGGCTTCGTTCACTTGAAGTGAAAAAAAACTGGGACGTTTCTGAGTCCCGTTCACTTTCTGATGGTTTCTTGAAAGCAGCTCAATCTGCAGATCCAGGGACAAAATCTCGTCCCAACGTCAAAGTGTTGAGTGTGAGACCTGCTGCTGACTTGGTGTTTGAATCTGTTTGGGTGCAGCGCGGTGATGATGGCGACCAGCAGGAGGCGCTGTGCCGATGTGTGAAATAGAGAATGAGCCGAAACATAAAATACTTTTGGACAAATAAAAGACAAACAACCCGAAGCTCAGATTTCCTCGTTTTGCTGCTGTGAGTCTGAACGTCTCACAAGAAAAATGTGGAAGACTAAGAGGGAACATGCTGCTAACTGCGTTAGCATCGAGCTAGCATCGCAGAACAGAAACGCTGTAACGGAAGCCTGTTAGGATTGTCCTGGACGCTGGAGCAGCAACAGATCCAGGTTCTCTCCAGGTTTCCTCCAGGTTCTCTCCAGGTTTCCTCCAGGTTCTCTCCAGGTTTCCTCCAGGTTCTCTCCAGGTTTCCTCCAGGTTCTCTCCAGGTTTCCTCCAGGTTCTCTCCAGGTTTCCTCCAGGTTTCCTCCAGGTTCTCTCCAGGTTTCCTCCAGGTTCTCTCCAGGTTTCCTCCAGGTTCTCTCCAGGTTTCCTCCAGGTTCTCTCCAGGTTTCCTCCAGGTTCTCTCCAGGTTTCCTCCAGGTTTCCTTCAGGTTCTCTCCAGGTTTCCTCCAGGTTCTCTCCAGGTTTCCTCCAGGTTCTCTCCAGGTTTCCTCCAGGACAGAAGTTGGGGAACCAGATAGAGAACCTGGGCCCCTGCAACCTGTAGCTGAGCCTCTGCTGCACCTGAATAGAATAATAAGTCATTAAGGCTCTGGAGTTTTGATCCACACCTGGAGGAGATGGAGGTGTGGCTCATCTAAAACCTGCAGGTCGCCTGGAGGCCTGGAAGCCTGGAGGCCTGGAAGCCTGGAAGCCTGGAAGCCTGGAGGCCTGGAAGCCTGGAGGCCTGGAGGGCTGGAGGGCTGGAAGCCTGGAGGCCTGGAAGCCTGGAGGCCTGGAGGCCTGGAGGCCTGGAAGCCTGGAGGCCTGGAAGCCTGGAGGCCTGGAGGCCTGGAAGCCTGGAGGCCTGGAGGCCTGGAGGCCTGGAAGCCTGGAGGCCTGGAGGCCTGGAGGCCTGGAAGCCTGGAGGCCCCTGTCCTGGACCCATTATCATCATCATCATCATCCGTTCTGTGATGCCGTCTGGAAAGCAGTAAAAACATCACAATTTCTGCACAACAAGCTTTGCTTCACTGAAGATTTCTGCAAGATTGACTGAAAGAAAAGAACTTCTGGAAGAATGGAAGAGAAGCCTTTACTGAGGGGAAAGAAATGACCTCTGACCCTCCAACAGGCTGAAATGGAAGCACACTTTCAAGCCTGTGATGTTAGACAAGTAAATCTGCAGTAATCTGATTTGTTCAACTTTTTATAGATAAGATTCCCATTTCTTCTTCTTGTAAGCTGCAGATCTTTCTGGCTCAGGTTCTCACTGAAAGCACTTTGTGGCCTGGCGTGAAGCTAAAAGTCTCTTGTCCTTTTAATGCTCAGTAAGTCAGTGAACTCAACTTTTTTAGTTCTAATTTTTCCACTTTGAACTCATGTCTTTGTCTTTAATGCGTTTGACGTGAAAATATCAAACGCAAAGCCAAAGATGAACACTGACTGTCTTCCAAGAAAGTCTTTCTCCTTCCTGGGAGTCTGAGTTCATGATGGTTCAGGAGCCGTTTCTATTCTTCAGAATAACTTTAACCTTTCAAGATTAAAAACTGAATCACAAATAAAAATAGTTTGTTTTTTTTTCCCATATTGAGAAGCGTCTAATGCACTGGCTGAATCCTGATGCTAATATTTTCATGGGGGGACTTCAATATTACTCTTGATATCATGCCTGACAGATGGCCAATAATCATAATGCTAGTGATGTTAATGGCTATTTAAACACCTTTATGGTACAGTTTGGTCAACATGAGAAAAAGAATCTTCACATGGCATAAAAACAATCATCACAATCACATCGACTTCTGGCTGGTTTCTGACCGTTTGTCAGAAATATGTAACTAATATTTTCTCTGCTAAACTTTCATCAAACAGTGCAGAGAACAACTCTCTTAAAGCAGGATTAAAATCATCCACACCTTATTTCTTTGATCGAAGTTAATACAGAGAATGTTTTCAGGTTAAACTGGGGACTTCTGAAGTTTGAAAATATTTAAGAAAATGTAATAAAGATATAATAGGAACACACTGAAGATTTCAAACTTAACGACTCTTTCCCTGAAATCAGTGCATCAGATGTCAGATCATTAGAGAAAATGTTTAGATTTACAGAGCAGTTTAGATGAAATGTAGAAAATGAGAGCAGAGTGGTTTCATTAGACGGCTGGAAGAAAGTGAGCAGATCCTGCAAACTTCTGCAGATCAGAAAAGCGTCGCCAAAACTCAAATACCAAACAAACTAAATGAATGAAAATATCTGCAATAATCCAATCAGCAGATTAACATCCAGCTCCGCATAAAGAGAGTCGCTGCAAAGTTCTTTGATGCCCCTACAAATCTTAAAGAAATTGATGAAAGTAATAAACTTTGTGATCAGTTAATCTCTCAACTTGATATTTCAGATGTTATTAAACAAGACGAATGAATCTCCAGCAGTTAGTAGACGCTAAAGCTCAGAGTTTTAGAAGTGATGCTCATTTTCTTCTACAGATACATTTAGGAAGCTCCCTGCTCAGGCATTATTGGGGCATCAGGACCCTGATGACCCCAGAGGACCCCTGATGACCCCCGATGACTCCTGATGACCCCTGATGACTCCTGATGACCCTGATGACCCCAGAGGACCCCTGATGACCCCCGATGACTCCTGATGACCCTGATGACTCCTGATGACCCCTGATGACCCCTGATGACTCCTGATGACCCCTGATGACCCCAGAGGACCCCTGATGACCCCTGATGACTCCTGATGACCCCTGATGACCCCAGATGACTCCTGATGACCCCAGATGACTCCTGATGACCCCAGATGACCCCTGATGACTCCTGATGACCCCAGATGACCCCTGATGACTCCTGATGACCCTGATGACCCCAGATGACCCCAGATGACTCCTGATGACCCCAGATGACCCCTGATGACCCCAGATGACTCCTGATGACCCCAGATGACTCCTGATGACCCCAGATGACCCCTGATGACCCCAGATGACTCCTGATGACCCCAGATGACCCCTGATGACTCCTGATGACCCCTGATGACCCCTGATGACTCCTGATGACCCCTGAGGACCCCTGATGACTCCTGATGACCCCTGATGACCCCAGATGACCCCTGATGACCCCTGATGACCCCTGAGGAGCCCAGAGGACACCTGACAAGGCCTGATGACCCCTGATGACCCCTGATGACCCCTGATGACCCCTGATGACTCCTGATGACCCTGATGACTCCTGATGACCCCTGATGACCCCAGAGGACTCCAGGACCTCCTCCTTCCTCTTCCTTGGCTAGCAGCGCTAAGCAGCTCTACTTAGCTTCTGTTATTTAGTTTTTCTTCTGTCTTATTCCTCAGTTGTTCATCACAACCACATTGTGTCAACAACATAACTGACAGTTCACAAATCTTTGACGTTTTGTGAATAAATGTTTCATCTTAGTGAACTGAACAGTTTCATGGACCTGATGAGCTGCAATATGGCCGCCTTCAGAATAACATCATAGAAATTCAGGTAGTTTGGCATTTTGTCAACTGTCAGTTTTGAACTGACATTGTGACTCTTTCAGTGAAAGTGTTGACAAATCTCACTTAAATGTGCACTTAATTCATTTTAATGTATTTTATAAATATCACTACTTCACATGTATCAAGTATTTCTTTTTACTCACTAGTTTGTCACCACTATCAGTTCTGTGTCTGTCAGATGGACTTTAATCAAACAGTCAAATGCATAAAATCACATCAACAGCTCATTATAATCATCAGAAGCCAAAGCCACAAAGAAGAAATGAATCACCTTAGAAAGATACAAAGACCAGTTTGGACCGGTCTCTGATTGGCCGTTTGAGCTCCAGGACTTTTATGTCCAGGTGTTTCTGACGCTGCGTTTCCACACCAACAGCTGCAAACAGATGAATCTGTTCTCTGTGATCCAGGATGCCAACAAGAGACGTGTTCATGATAGAAACATTTTACTCTAGAAAATGAAACCAAACTTTATCAGCTATCCGGGGTTTTCGTTTCAAACTGGTTCCTGAACCCACAGAGCTTTGCTGTGCCCTCTGACCTCTGACCCAGAGCATCAAACAGCAGATTTGATTACAAAAATGAACAGACTTTTGATATAATATCTTCATACTTTGATAGAACAGACATGAGCAGATTCAGTACCAAAACATCTTTTACACTCAATATTTTCTGATTAGTTTTCAGTTATAATGAACTAAAACATTTTCAGATGAATATATGGTTCATTCACTCTTAATAATGTTATCTAATATAAAACATGTTCAACTGATTCAATTACCGTACTTTCTGGACTATAATTCTCACTTTTTTCATAGTTTGGAAGGAGGTGCGACTTATAGTCCAGAAAATACGGTAATTATTGATTAAATTATTATTAGTCTAAATCTAACCTGAAGTGACCCAAAACCATCAGGATCCGTCTAATATCTCGACCTGCACGAAAGTTAAAGTTCGCATTAAAACTCGCATCATGAAAGTCATATTTCTCAAAAATCTTTACTTGCTCGCCCACGGAGCGACCTTTATTCTGAAAGCATGCACCGGATGTACCAGCTTCCGTCCTCTAGCCGAACCGAACTGTCAGCAGCAGAGGTCTCACCGCGGAACCGACCCAGACACAAGGCAGGTTCGGCTCAAGATCCGGGACCGAACTTCACGATGAGCCAGGAAAATATTTTCCTTTTTGTTCCGAATTTAATCGGTGAGTCTTTTTCCTCCAACCATTTAGCTTAGCATTAGCCATCATGGCGCCACCGCTCAGACCAGACTCAATTGAAAAAATGACAAATTTATAGACTCTGTGGTTCTGACCCGCTTCTGTTGCTATTATAAGGTCCGGAGTCGACACTTAAAGACCCCAACGAGTCTCTAAAAATAATCGGATTTACTTTTATTCTCTTTTTAATTGGCTGAAATAACATTTGGAGATCTTATATATTTTAAATATGAAGTCCCGGAAGTGGCTATAAACTGTGACGAAATCTGAGTTTTAATAAGTTGTTATTGATCTGCTGATTCAGATCAATAACAGTCTGCGTAATACGCTCCCTTCCGGTGTCAGGTGGTTCTGAACCACCTGACCCAAATACATGCTGGTTCTGATCAAACCGGTCCAACTGATTGACATGTTCTCCATTCGAACCATCTTTATTCTCCCAGAACGGATCAGAACCGAAGAGAAGGCTACGGAGGCCTGCAGGGGACAAGGGAAGGTTTCCCTTTTGCGTTCCCTCGCAATAATCTACTGATTATAACGAAGCACTGTAAGCCTTTCTTACGGCGGCCGCTGTACTCTCTGCTTTAATAAGACGTTATGTGAGGTTTTTCCATCTCTTTGTGAAATGTCTAAAATGTAATATCTGTTTCTTTAGGATAGAAAGGCAAAAGAAAACAATGTTCCCCCGGATGTTTCTTCTGCAGGAAGAAACATGAATTATAGATCTGAGCATTTCTTTTTGTTCATGAAAAACTGAAAAGTGTGGCTTGCAGTTATTACAGCTGTGAATGAACCAAGTTAAGGCTTCAGACTTTGATCAGAACCAGTCCAGCAGTGGGTCAGAGAGGTTCTGGTTCTGTGTGCAGGTTACGCCCGTGTGGTTCTGGCGCTGCTGTCCTTCTACCTGATGCCCAGCAGTCCGTGGCCGGCCGTCTTCTGCTACCTGCTGAGCGCGCTGCTGGACGCCTTCGACGGCCACGCCGCGCGGGCGCTGGACCAGGGTACGCGCCGCCTCCGAGAGCCCCCCGCGTTCCCGCCCGTCTTCCCTTGGTGACCTCTGACCTCTGGGTGGTTTGCTTCCAGCCACCAAGTTTGGCGCCATGATGGACATGCTGACGGATCGCTGCGCCACCATGTGTCTGCTGGTCAACCTGGCGCTGCTCTACCCCGCCTACGCCTTCCTGTTCCAGCTCAGCATGATCCTGGACATCGCCAGCCACTGGCTGCACCTGCACAGGTCAGTCTGCTGCTGGACCGGACCGGACCGGAACCGGCCCGGTTCTGGTTTTGCTGACTGCGGTCTCCTTCCTCCTCAGCTCCACGGTGAAAGGCTCAGGAAGCCACAAAACCATCGACCTCTCTGGGAACCCGATCCTCCGGCTCTACTATACCTCCAAGGTCAGAACCGGGCCGGGCCGGGCCGGGCCGGGCCGGGCCGCTGCGGCTCTCGTGAGTCATGGTTACAGTCGGTTTCAGCAGGTTCTGCTTCTGTTTCAGCCGGTTCTGTTCGTGATGTGCGCTGGGAACGAACTCTTCTTCTGCCTGCTCTACATCCTGCATCACATCCAGAACCCGGCAGGTAGGCCCGCAGCATGACACCGCCACCTCCGAGTGTCCCCGTGTGTCCTGCAACGGATTATTGATCTGGTTATTGATCTGGTTCTGTAATCCCTCCACAACCTTTCTGGGTGAGACTCAGAACCGGACCGACCCGCTTTAATCCTGCTGCCCCCCCTCTCTGCAGGTTGGCTCCGCCCCCTCCTGGCGCTGTGTGGCGCCGTGGCGATCCTGAAGGCGGCCGTCAGCGTCCTCCACCTGGTCACCGCCTCCCAGAACATGGCCGCCCTGGACGCCGCCGAGCGCGCCAAGAGGCTCTGAGGTTCTGGTACCGGTTCTGGTCCGGCCCGATTGAAATGCCTCATTTATGACCAAATTTCACAAAATCACAAATATTCCAGCTTTCTGTGTTGCTTAGCAACCACATATAACACATTAGAGACAAACCATCCCATAATCCCTGGACTGGTCCGGTTCTGATCCAGTTCCGGTCCGGTTCTGATCATGTGGCCCCGGGTCCAGCATATCTCTGGTTCTGGTGAACCTGTCGACCCGGGCAACATTTGTTCTGACGGTTCTGGGCCCGCAGAACCTCAGCAGAACCAACAGAACCCGACAGAACTTCATGAACTCATCCGGGTCAAACCGGGCCCCGTTCTGGTTCTGGTCACTCCGATTCCTTTGATGTTGTCATGAAATGTTCAGTATTTGGTGTCCAGAACCCGGCCCGGTTCTGGAGCTTTTATAATGATGTAATTTATTATTATTATTATTATTATTATTATTATTATTATTATTATTATTATTATTATTGTTGTTGTTGTTGTTGTTGAGAAGTTCCAATAAAATCTGGAAACTCACCGTTTCTCCAGAAAGAGGTTCTGGAGGTTCTGGAGGTGGTTCTGAGTTCTATTGGACCGGGTCATGATGTCTTTGATGCACTTTGTGTTTTCATAGGAATTCTGGGAATTTGCTTCTTTAGTTTTTTATTATTTGATGTGAAATGAGAATAAAGTTTTGCTGCAGCTGGTTCTGACCCGGTTCTGTTCATTATTCAGAACTTTGTTTGTATGATTCCTTGTTCTGGTTTTAGTGGAACACAAAATGAAAACGACCAGAACCAGAACCGTCCCAACATTATTTTCCTCTGAATGAAAATATTTAGAATCTCAACATGAAATGGACCTGGAAGTGGATCCGCTCCGCCGCACCAGAACCGGCAGAACTCTCGACCCGGTTCCCCCGAGATTCTACTGGATCAGAACCAGAACCCGTCCTGCCTCGGTTCAGCACAGCGGTTCTGAAGGAGGCCCAGGTGGTTCTGATCCAGGCTGACAATAAGCATCAGCGCCTCCCAACAGAACCGGTCCAAAACAGACCGCTGGATGCTGCGTTGCCTAGCAACCGGATGCTGCCAGAGCGTTGCCACGGAGACCAGGGCTCCAGTGGTCCGGTCCGGTCCGGTCCGGTCCGGTCATCCGCCTCTGGACCCTCCGAACCGCCCGCGAAGGATCATGGGTCACCGGAACCGGCTCTATTTGTCTCGCGCTCGGAGGAAAACAGGAAGTGATTTCTATTTCTTGTTTTGTTTTTTTTCATTTGTAGTTTTCCTGAAAATACTGAAACGTTGATCAAAAAGCTGCTCAGTGAAAGAATCCGGCTGGTTCCGGACGGACCTGCTGAACGCTCTCTGGCCCAAACAGAACCAGAACCTACAGTTGGGTTTTTCCAGTATGGAGTTCGGCGAGCCGCGCGGCGGGCGCTCACGTCACGCTCCGTCCAGCTGTTGCACCTGCGCGAATCGTTACCTTTAAGATACTCGAGGGATAAAGCCTCGAACCGGACTCCATTGCAGCCCGGAGTTCGGCCAGCCCGTCCGGACCGACCGCTGCGGACAGGTTCTGTTCGGCGCTGAGGACGGATCAGCGGCTGAGGCTTTCAGTCGGAGGAGACCCGCCGCACGAGACGGAGTCCGCGCGGAGGGAGCACGAGCCCAACCCTTTCCTTTAAAGCGCCGACAGGGGGGAGAAGAGGAGATCAAAGCGGAGGGAGGAGGGAGCGGGAAAAAAACAGAAACAGGCGCCGAGGCGGAGCCACGGACCGAGCCGCGCCGGGGCGCCGCTGGACGGGGCAGGCGCTGCAGGAAACTCCGAGGCTTGGCTCCTGCAGCGGAGGCCTTCCTGGAGATCCGAATAAAACGAACCCGAAAAGGCCTGCAGAACCGAACCGAGCCGGTCCAACCGCCCGGTGCCTCCAGGCTGCAGCTGTTTGTATTAAAATGCACCAACCATCAGTGGGCCTTAGCGAACCGCAGAACCGAGCCCTGCTGGACTCTCTGAGCTGTCAGTGAGCAGGAGCCACCAGGCCCCATCATCGGTACCGGAACATTTGTCCCAGCGTTCCGGGCCCTCCTCCTCCTCCCTCCCCTCTCTGCGGGCCCTCAGCATGGACACTTCCTGGAGCAACTTCCTCTTCCAGGTAGGTGTTGATCCGGGTGCAGGGGGTCAGAGGTCATAGAAGGGTCAAGGGGAACTACAGGTGAGGTTCAGAGGTTCACCAGGTTCTGCTTCTAATCAGAAGCAGAACCCGGTCCTGTTGAACCCAGTCCTGTTTGGACCGCCATAGCTCAGCTATGCAGTCCATCAGAACCACCAGAACCATCATTCAGAGTCTAACAGGAAACTGGACTTTCTCCAACCCAGTTCTGGTCCGTTTTTACAGAATCCCAGTTTCACTTTGAGGATTTTCCCCAGAACATTCAGCTCAGAGTGGTGATGGTTCTGACTGGGTAGAACTTCCAGAACCTTCTGGGTTTGTCCAGTTTGTCCATCCAATCGCAAGTCTTTAGACTGCTGGAGGACTTCCTGGTTTCTGTCCAATCAGAGAGGAGGAAGACACACCATTGTCTCTCAGCTCTGATTGATTCTGGACAAAATGGACCTGGAGGTTCTGTTCAACTTGCAGCAGGACCAGAACCATGGAAAGCCAGCAGGAGGTTCTGCTGCTGCCGAGGCGGGAGTAACTGATTAAAAAGGATAACGTTCAGACTGTCCTTCAAAATAAGAGCCTGACTCCATCTGAGTAGATCATGTTCCCTCTGGAGCGACCTGATTGGTTAACCTGATGCAGAGGATTCTGGGAAACAGCTGCAGATTAATCCAGATGTTCTTATAGACGCCGCCGCCGAGCCAGACCCAACCCGATGCGCCGCTTCAGGCCGAGCTGCTGCCGGACCTGACCGGGTCGGCCCAGAGTCCCCCGGCAGAACGCATCGTGACGCCCCCGTCCACCGTTGACACGGCCGCCCTGAGCGAGGAGCCGCTGCCAGGTGAGCGGAAACAGAATCTGGACCGGACCTTCCGACGGGTCTGGTTCTGGAGTTCAGAACCTGACCCGTGTCTGTCTAACCGTACCGCCCGTCAGTCAAGCCGTTGCCAAAGCCGACCCGGCCGGCCCACATCTGCTCCACCTGCAACAAGGAGTTCAAGAACAGCTACAACCTGCGGCGCCACCAGTCCGTCCACACGGGCGTCAAGATGAAGGACCGCGCGGCGCGGGACAAGGAGGACGGCGCCAAGAAGACCATCCCTCTGTCCCTGCTTCAGCTCACGCTGCCGCCCCCGGCCGGCGCCCCGGACGCCCTCGCCCCGACGCCCTCGCCCCGGACGCCCTCGCCCCGGACGCCCTCGCCTCGCTCGCCGCCCCGGACGCCCAGCCGCTCTCCATCGCCCCGGCAACCGTCACCATGGCCACGCCCCCGCAGCCCATCCAGGCGGCCATCGTTGTGGTGGGCTCCGTGGAGCAGGTGGGTCAGCTGGTTTCAAAGTTCTGAATGGAGGTTGTGAACTTCTTCATGTTCCGTCCGCACAGACTCCCGGTCCCAGCCCGGTTCCGAACCCCAACCAGGTGAGGAAGAACCACGCCTGTGAGGCGTGCGGGAAGGCCTTCCGGGACGTGTACCACCTGAACCGCACCGGCTGTCCCACTCGGACGAGAAGCCGTACTCCTGCCCCGTCTGCCAGCAGCGCTTCAAGAGGAAGGACCGCATGAGTTACCACGTCCGGTCGCACCAGGGCGGGTGGAGAAGCCCTACGTCTGTCCGCACTGCTCCAAGGCCTTCTCCAGGTAGGACCGCCTCTCCGGAACCCAACCCGCAACCATCCTGCCGTCAATCACTTCCCTGTCTGTCTGTCTGTCACAGACCGGATCACCTCAACAGCCACGTCCGACAGGTGCACTCCACCGAGAGGCCCTTCAAATGCACGGTGGGTCCTCCAGGGTTAGAACCCCACTAACCCGACGATCGGTACCAGACGCTGCCTCTCACGTTTTTTCTGCAGACGTGTACGTCAGCGTTCGCCACGAGGGACCGCCTCCGTGCGCACCTGATCCGCCACGAGGAGAAGGTGCCGTGCCACATCTGCGGGAAGCTGCTGTCGGCGGCGTACATCACTGACCACATGAGGGTCCACAACCAGTCGCAGCACCACTCCTGCCACCTGTGCAACCGCAGTAAGATGCAGCTTCACGCGCACCCTTATGCATGCATCCCTCGGTAACCAGGCGTGTATCAGTCCGCTGCAGAAAGTAGACCCGCCTTTACCTTGTCTTCCTGGTTCTGGCTTCGGGATCCTCCACTTTTCTGGATTTGTTGAAAGTTGTGCAGAGTTCTGAAGGTCCGGTTTGGTTGCAGGTTTCACCACCCTCACCTACCTGCGGGTCCACGCTCAGAAGCACCACGGCCAGGAGTGGAAGGAGAGCGGCGGGGCGCGGGGGGCCTTCGGTGGGACCGGCGCCGGCGGGGTGCTGCTCTGCCAGCTCTGCGGGGTCCAGTGTAAGACGGCCACGCAGCTCCAGGGTCACATGGGCACCCACGCCCAGCAGGGGGACCCGGCCCCCGACCAGACCGGCGCGGAGCCCGTCGGCACCACCAGCGCCGCCGTCACCGTGGCCAGCCCGCCGCCGGTGGGGCTGCTGGTCACCGACTGCTCCGGCATCGGCCCCCAGGCCCACAGTTAGCAGGGCGGGGGCCAGCGGCGCTGCCAGGTGAGGTCAGGGGAGGTCATAAAGGGGTCACGGGGTTTGGGGGTCAGGTCAACCTTCTGGTTCTCTTGTGTTGGTTTCAGAGACATTGATTCCAGGCTGAGTCCAACGCAGCACAAACTATTCACATCATTCAACCTCCACCGTTTAGTTCCGGTTCCGCCGCGGAGGAACCTTTTGGGTTCTGGTTCTCCAACTCATCAGCAAAGAAGCTTCAACAGTTCAACAGCTTCCCAACAGAACCAGCCGCTTCGACGCCTTCCAGTCTGCTTTTCATGGTTACCACAGCACAGAGAACGGCCTAGTCAAAGTGCTCAATGACAAACCAGAACCAGAAGCACAGCTTTGGTTCTGGTTCTGTTGGACCTCAGGGTCCATCATTTCACTGAACCGACTGGAGAGTCGGAGTCTCCGGTTCAACGCTGAACTGGTTTGAATGAAAAACTGGGATTTCTTTGTTTCTACTGGAAACTTCTCCTCAAAGAGGTCAAAGGTCACATGTGGGGTTCCCCAGGGTTCAATCCTAGGACTCTGATTCTATATCTATATGCTCCCACTGAAATAACAGAAAATATCAGCCACCATAAGTACATTTTGATGTCACCAGGTGACCTTTGACCCCATCCAGTCACTGAACAGACGCTGAGAGAAATGTTCTCATTATTGGACCTAAAGAGGAACAATCTGGAGTTATAGACGCACAACTTCAGTTATTCCAACTAAAATCAGTGATGACCCCTGACCTCTGACCCTCACAAAGTCGGCCTTCTGTCACCTGCAGAGCGTCTGGAGGTCTGATGTCTCAGTCTGCATCGATTCCTTCCTGTCTGTCCAACACGTCAATCCTGCAGCAGCTGCTGGAGTTCTGAGCAGAACCAGAACCAGGAGGATCTGGACCCGGTTGGTTCTGCAGTCCCTCATCGGCTCCCTGCAGCTCAGAGACTCTAAAACAGTTTATCAATCACTGAGCAACACATGAAAGATCTG